AAACGAGCTGTATTTTCAAAAATGGTCAAAGGGGGGACCCTATGCATGAACTGTATTTTTTATCAAAATCAATGTTATTCAATGGGAGCTGGAAATTTTTGTCATTTTTTAGTTTCATTTAAATATCTCAGAAACTAATAAAGATATTTAATTTTTGTTAATTGCAAAAAATTTCTGCATTACTTAAGCTACTGATCACCGAAATTTATCTCAATACGATGATCAGATCGAATTTAATAAAATAACAAATTTGGTTCGATTTGCGTGAGACCCCCTAATACATAAAAATAATTCAATTGCAATAGCATTAATTGTAATTCTCATTTTGAAAGTTTCAGTAACTTAGAGTAATTCCTTTGAATTGATAAATCTTCACGCTCGAATTTATTGGAACTAAACTTGATTTGAGAAGATCTATGAAACCATTATCCATTGTCAATCATTGATATTAGTTATAAGCAACTTATAATTCAAAATATCTCATTTTAATAATCTTTGATTTTACAATAAAATATAAATCTTTAAATACATTTTTATATCAATACATTGTATTAATAACATCGTTTGGTCAATAATAAAAATTTAAGAATTGTCGGGTCAATTTATCAGTTCCATTGAAAGAATAACCATGAATATTAATGTTTAATATTTTAGCCATTAATGGGTAGAGATCAATGTTGAAAAATTCAGATTCAGTCAATTTAAAGCCTTGTTTAAAAAGAGGCCCGTAACCAATGAACAATGATCTCATTTCAGATTGTCTGTTATCATTACCATGATTGCCCCAAACAGGTTGATCATGAATCCAATCACTGAATGTAATTTCATAACCAGGTTCAGCTTCTATAATTATTGGCATGATTCGACGATTATTCCTACAAAAAAAGATATTTTAATAAACGATTCAACTTTAAAAATCTCTACAATTTACCTGTAAAAATATTCTTCTGGAATTTGTGATTTAATGTAAACTTTGTAATGGTTGCTGGATGCTTTATCGACGAGCATTTTATGTACTTTATTAAATGCACCTTCAACTGGAAGGATACCGATGACTTGTGTCCCACCAAACTGACGGAATAAACTTGTATCCAAAAGTTGAGTTAAATTGACTGAGGTCTTTTTGTTGATTTCGTTCATTCCATGGTCACTCAAGAATATCATGTTTGTATTTTCTGACATATTTCGTTTCTTCAAACCTTCCAACAAGTAAGCTGCGAATTGGTCGGCATGCATGATTTGTCGTATTACTTTTTTACTGAAAGGTCCATATTCGTGTGACGATGAATCGGGTTGGTTAATGTAAAGGAAGGCAAGATTGACTGGATCGTCATTTCGAGTCATCCAATTGAACACAATATCGGCTCGCTCTTCGAAACTCATAGTTTTATTATAGTCGCACATGTAGCTTGCTGACCGCCCACGATATGAGGTACAACAGCCTGGCCACATGGCGACTCCGCTTTTGTGTCCAGAAAGCTCATTGGCGATCTACACATTTAAATATAATAATAATAAAATGTAGCAACAAGAATTAATATTTTGAAATTTACATTGCTTGCTATTGGAAATTGTCAACGAAATGAAACTTACCCATAGAGGCAGAGAGTATCCATTATCCCACCACTTAGGATCTGAGTTCGTCTTTTTAAAAACTTCATCGAATTCTGGATCATACATTCGATTATCGATGATCCCGTGAGACTCGGGGTAAAGACCAGTTGCGATTGAAAAATGATTAGGAAATGTTTTGCTTGGAAACATAGGAAACATTGACCCAGTAACACCATTTTTCATGATCGACCATAAGTTTGGCGTCAAAATGGGCGATAAATAGTCACCTCTGAAGCCATCAAATGAGATGACAATTAAACGATTTGACGATTCATGATGAGAGGGTTCACGATGAAACGGAAATGAATTTAAACCAGCTAACCAACTCAATGAGATTAATGATAAAATATTAACAATCTTTGAATTAAACTTCATTCCTCAATTCAACTCGATGAAGCTTGTAAAACAACAAAAGTACGTTTACACATCAACAATATCGCAAAACTAAATCATTATATTTTGTGCGTTTACTTTTACGCTGATCAATTGACTTTAATCTTTCATATCCTTGTCAATATACATGATTAAATGATATGTATAATCCACGAGTAGAGGTAGAGCAATCTATTATATATTGATTATTAATCGATTTGATTAAAAATGATACTCAAGTGACTAACAGAAAAGGAATAGACAAGCATTTAAAGATTATCATGAGTTTCGTGATTCTTAAATGATTAAAAGTGTCACTTGAAATTTCTTAAAGCATCGATTCTTAAGCCCTCATTTGTGTAAAAACGTCAACAAATTAGCTACGCTGTCATCAGTTCTGATCAATCTAATCACTATTAGTAACGATGATGTTCCAATAGTGATTAAATTGCCATTTTTCTTTTCATTTCAAATCAATATCAGTAGGGAGCATTTGTCTGAAAAAAGATTTCTACAAGAGTCTTCCAATTCGCTCTTCGAGTTTCAGAGTTCATTCATGGGTCATTTACTTATTTACCTTTATTTGGTATTTGAAAACCACTTCATTCATTTAATTATGAACTATAATATTTATGAAGTTTGTGTCACATCATTGCTATGTTTGCTTGATTGGAACTGACAGTCAGACGCTATTCATTGCTGGTAAAGGTCAATGCCGAATTATAATGCACTGAAAAGTGTTATCACATAAGATATAAAATGAATGAAACTGAATGAGTTAGAATTCTGAATAGAAGCTCAGGATTGGTGAAACTTCAAGCATAAGTTACTCATAGCTTATGACTCATAAGATAGGAAGTTTCTGGTTGCATTATCATATTATCAAATCATAATATTATATCATAATACTGTATCAAAATAGCAAGAAGTAAATAAAACCAAAGTAATCAGTTATTATTACCATAAAACTGGTTTTTTTATCTTAAAAAAATTATATCTTTTAGGCCACCAGAATGCTTTACATTTACGTAAGCCTCAATCTTAATCATGAATATTTTGATACACTGATATATTTACGTTAGACTTTGAACAGACTACATAAGACAATAGCTAGCAGTTGTTATCATAAAAACTGGTTTTAGTATCTCTCAAGCCACCTGAAAGGTTTATTTTTATGTAAGCCTTCATCTTGATTATCAATACTTTTGATGGTGTGATATAAAAGATATCTAATGATAGACTGAACAGATTATATTTTTTGTGTCTTCTATTTATTACGATGCATTATAATAACAATGATATCAATCTGACAAATTTTTGGTCTCTAGAAATCAGATGCTTGAAGTCAAAGGACTTGCTGACAAATATTAATGAATTGGTAGCAAAAACGTAGAGATGGGGACGTTTTGTGGGAATCGCACTGGATTCCAAGGGAATGGACCTAGGGTTAGAGTCGATTCTCAACCAATTGGTTGATTTCCAAGAAAATTTTACAGATCTAATCTAATGATAATTTATCTTTTTTTGTTATCAGTGCATCTTAGATAAGATTCGGAAAGTAGTGTATTCCGACTTTCGATCAGATCAAAGATAAAGCAATGAAATCCAATGAAGGTGAGCGAATGGTTATTCATAATCTTATCCAATTTTATTGTGATTCATTTTATGAAATATTTCATTGCCTCGAGAACTATTGATAAATGATATTTCAATCAAAGAACAGATATTTTAGCCATTGTTCATGTGACGATTCTTTGTTAATCACAAAAATTATTCAATTTTTGCCAAATTGTAAACAATTTTACGATCCATTTTCAATGTAATAATTAATCAATCAAAATGCAAAAGGATTGAAAAAAGTAACAAAGTAAAAAATAGAAAATTAATAAAATAGATAAAACGAGGAACAATTCATGGATTCCTGATTCATTGTGTAAAGAAATTGATTAAATAATTTTCGACAATAAAAGTTGAAATAAAAACCCAGAAAATCTGTTTCATTGAGACGATCAACCTTAAAATTTAACATCTTTGCTCAAACAATTTGCAAATAGACCAAAATGAAAAACAAATCAATCAAAGTGTTTAATGATTGATGAGAAGTTAAAGGCTGAGCAAAAAGCTAAATACAATTGCATTCATGGTTAAATCATTGAGCAAAGATATTGACTAAATGATTCAACAAAGTCGACATAAGTCTGAACTATTATAAACTTTATCTCATTTAAAGTGAAACTTTCGAAGAAAGGTAAAGAGGAAAAAGAAATGATCTTTTTTCTTAAATCGACTCTCACAGTTTCAATCCGAGCAATTTGTATCGCTTTATTCGCTTGGCAATTCTATTTATTGACTCAAAATTTCCAGGAATTCAATGTTAGTACAAAAGTTAAAAAATACATTCCGAATGAAATTGAATTGCCAGAAATCAGAATTAAAGTTCCGTATCAATTTGCATTAGATCCAGTGATTATAAAATCAAAATATAAAACCCAATTTGATGAAATTTGCAGGCATTTTTCAGCTAAAAAGGATTGTGATGGCCATTTAACGAATCCCATTTTATTTTCAAAATCCTTCGGTCCATATTTACGTTTGTCTGATATCGCTAATTATTCGTATGCACCTGAAATGTTCATAAGACGAGTTACTGTGGTTGGGTCCAGAGAAAACGCTCTAAAGACGGGAAAATGCAAATTGATTAGTGAAGCTTCTTCTTCGTGCTTGGTTCTCATATTGAAATGTCTGGACTCATCTGATTTACCCTTGAAAGTGTCACGATCTGAAGTGGTTGTTTCTAATGCGAATCACCTGCTTAGTTTCAAATTGAATGCGACGGTTATGTTATTGAATCTAATTTATCCTGGTAAAGCTGCAGTTGGAGATGACAGTCTTTATGCTTACTCATCCTTAACTCCAGGAAAACAAATTACACATGTAATCCACTTCACAAAACACACTGAAAACTTATTGTCTGCTCCGTACAAAACAATGTGCAAAGATTATAATCAACGCCAAACATTTGAGGATTGTCTAAACGCTAATTCGATTGATCAAACAGGATTGCTTTTCCCTGGAACTACAGTTTCTTTAGAGAAGTATAGAAAGGCAAGTGAAATACGCTTCAATGCAATGTTCAATAAGGATAATGGCACGCTACTAGAAATTTATAAACAATGTCAATCTATCGTCAATCAACCAATTTGCAATTCAGTTCAATATTCATTCAAAATGACCAAAACCATTGAAGATGTTTCAAAGGGAGAAGAGAAGGCTATATTACATTTCAGCGTTTCATCTAAACCTGATTCATTAACAGAGAGTAAACCAGAATTTCCTCTTTCCGATTATATCATTTTAAGTGGTAGTTTGATCAGTACATGGTTTGGCATAAGCATAATGGGCCAATTGCTTGTTGCAAGTAACTTGTTTTGCTTGGCCGTTGAACGTAAAAGTCCAGTCGTTTCGGAGCATCAGGATGAAACAATGAACCCCAAATAAACAATGATTAATCTTGCCCTACTCTACTTTGATACATTGGTTTAATTTTGAAAATGTTTGTAATTCTTGCACAGCATTTTGAATAAAGTATATTTCTATTGAAATATCAGTATACCATTAACTATTTATTAGACTAACCCAACATTGTAATAAGAGAACTTATAAAATGGACTGATTATAGGGATTATATCGTTCATTTCGAGATAATGATAATGAGAATTTATCTGTTTTGTCACCAGTGCGTATCAGATAAGATGCGGAAAGTTCTGTATTTCCAAGTTCAAAGGCAAAGCATAAATCCAATGAGGGCGAGCGAATGGTTTTTCATAAAATCTTATCCAATTCATTGAATGATTTTTTCAGACTTAAGTAACTAAGTAAGGTAAGTACTTTTTTAATTTAATTCACTTTTGACCTTTTAATAACCTTTTTTCTCTTTGCAGTCCATCATCACCTCTATCAGTTCAACTCGGTAGAGTTTTAACTCATTTGGAGTCAGCCCTGATTGCTGTCCCCTCATTTGTACGCCATTCAGGACGGCCATTGAAAAAATCCGGTCCTATGAGGATCAAGAGGCGAGGATCGAGAGGCTGCTGGTCCAAAACCAGCGCCTCCAAACCAGGAACCAGGAGCTACGAGCTGAGGTAGCGGAGGTAAAAACTGAACTGGCCGAGAAGGACCAGTTCATAACATACATCGACCACCGATGTCAGAGAGCTTTTGGCTTCCCGAGGGAAGAATTCTTGGACCGGTACCTGGATTGGGTCGAGAGGCGAGTTAGAGAGCTCGAGCTCAGAGACTCAAGCCGAGGGCTTTAATTTTGTATTAATTTCATTTTCATTTTTTCTATTAATTTTCATTTTCATTTTTTCTATTTATTTTCATTAAAAAAAGTTTCATTTTTTTCTCGGAAAAAAACTAACACCGTCTTACGGTATCATTGACCTGGAAGCGGACTGTCCTGGAAAAACCAAGTCGTCCTCGAAGAGGACGTTATATAACTACTTACAAGGGAAGGTCATGAATTGTAAAATCGATTTTAGATCAATTCAAATTGCATTGTTCCAATAAACGTCATTTCATGACCATAAAGACCAGATATTTTGCATTCATTGTTCATGTGACAATTCTTTGTAATTACAAAATTAATCAATTTTCGCCGAATTTTAAGATCCATTTTCAATGTAATAGTTAATCGATCCAAATTTAAAAAGGCTGAAGAGAGTAAAAATAAAAGAGAAAATTAATAAAATAATAAAATGAGGTACAATTCATGGATTCCTGATTCATTGTATAAAGAAATTGATAAAATAATTTTAAACAATTGAAAGTTGAAATAAAAACCCAGAAAGTCTGTTTTATCGAGATGATCAACCTTAAAATTTAACATCTTTTATCAAACAAATGGTGAAACCAAAATGATTATTTTATTATTATAATACAACTTGATTCAACTTTTGTTCGTGAAATTTTAATCAAAAAACTCCAAGAATTAATTTTAAATAAAAATCTGAATAAAACTAGGTCTATTAAGGGTAAAAATCATGAGATTGACTACTCGATAAATAGTGGGAATGAGCTATTTCCACTATGGTGCATTTTCTGAGTGATAACTGAACATTATTAAATAATTATTATTATTGGTATACACTCCAAGTGTAAAATGATTGATGAGAAGTTAAAGGTTGAGCAAAAAAAGTTAAATACAATTGCATTAATGGTTCAATCATTGACCAAAAATATCGACTAAATGATTCAACAAAGTCGACTTAATTCTGAACTAGTTGATAAACTTAATCTCATTGAAATGACCATTTAAAGCCAAACTTACAAAGAAAGGTGTAGAGAAGAGAGAAATGATCGTTTGTCTGAAATCAACCCTAACAGTTTCAATTCGTGCCATTTGTATCGCTTTATTCGCTTGGCAATTCTATTTAATGACTCAAAATTTCCAGGAATTCAATGTTCGTAAAGAAAAGACACACTACATTCCGAATGAAATTGAATTGCCGGAGATCAGAATTAAAGTTCCGTATCAATTTGCATTGGATCCTGTGATTTTACAAACAAAATATAAATCCCGATTCGATGAAGTTTGCAGACAATTTTCAGTTAAAAATGATTGTGATGGCCATTTAACTAATCCTTTAATATTTTCAAAATATTTTGGTCCATATTTACGTTTATCAGATATTGCTAATCATTCGTATGCACCTGAAATGTTCATAAGACGACTTAAAATGGCGGGATCTAAAGAAGACCCTCTAAAGACTGGAAAATGCAAGTTGATTAGTGAAGCTTCTTCTTGGTGCTTAGTTCTCATATTGAGATGTCTAGACTCATCTGGTCTACCATTGAAAGTATCACGATCTGAAGCAATTGTCTCTAATGCAAATTACTTGATAAGTTTCAAATTGAATGCGACGGTTATGTTATTGAATTTAATTTATCCAGAAAAGGCTTTGGTTGAAGATGACAGTCTTTATGCTTATTCATCTCTTACTCCAGGAAAACAAATTTCACATGGAATTGGTTTCACAAAACACACGGAGAACTTATTGCCTTCTCCTTACAAAACAATGTGCAAAGATTATAATCGACGTCAAACATTTGAAGATTGTCTAAACGCTAATTCGATTGACCAAACAGGATTGCTTTTCCCCGAAACTACAGTTTCTTTAGAAAAGTACATACAGACGAGTGAAATTCGCTTCAATGCAATGTTCAATGAGAATAATGGCACTCTACTAGAAATTTATAAACAATGTCAATCTCTTGTTATCCAACCAATGTGCAGTTCAGTTCAATATTCATTCAAAATGTCCAAAACCGTTGAAGATGTTTCAAAAGGTGAAGAGAGTCTGGTATTACATCTCAAAGTTTCATCTGAATCTGATTCATTAATCGAGAGTGTAGCAGAATTTCCTCTTCACGATTATCTTATTCTAAGTGGTAGTTTGATCAGTTCATGGTTTGGAATCAGTATAATGGGCCAATTGCTTGTTGCAAGTAACTTGTTTTGCTTGAAAGCTGCACGTAAAAGCACAGCCGTTTCGGAGAATCAAAACGAATCCCAAGTGAACAGTGATTAATCTTTCACGAATATCTACTAATATCTGATAAATCAGTTTAATTTCGAAAAAAGTTTGTACTTCTTGCCCAGCATTTTGAATAAAGTATATTTCTGTTAAAATTAGTCAACTATTTAGTAGTTATTTTTTCAATAAAACGAAATCCATCTTTAAGGTTTTTGTCGTCAATCAAGATCAATCAATAAAGATATTCAGTAATCTAAATTCATCAAACTCAGTTGTATGACAAATCAACATTGAATGATTGCAATCGTTCAAAAACTTCTGTGGAATCAATTTTTAGAGCGTGATTTTCGTCTGAATAGAAATACGAATCTATTTGTGTTCCATTGAATAACACACTTGTAGGCTTTTTATCAACTCCAACCAGCATGATTCCACCAATTTTGAAGTTATTAGCAGTAAAAACATTTTCATAATCGCAAGAAATTTTATTCTAAGAGAGAAATGAAATAAATAGATTAGGATTAAAGTAACTGAAAGATTGAAGCTAGATCGATGATGATCAAATTATAATATCTTTCAAAATAATTTCGTTACTTACCAGAGAGGCTTTACAATGACTGTAAGTGTATTCACCATTTTGAATGTTTTCAATCGATTGTCCGTCATCTGAGAACCAAGAACCAGATGCTTGACCTGAAGAGTCAAGAAATATGAAGAGATAGCCTGGAAGTTCTGATAAATCAGCAATAGACATTGCTGTTACCAAGTAACCAGGAATGATTGATCCACCTCGAGCGTACACACCAATTTTGTCATCATCAATTGTAATGTTTTCATATCGACCAGTACTTTTGACAGATAGTTTGAGACTCTCAAAGTCATACCAAAATCCTTCAGGGAAATATGCATTAACAGTTTTCGTATCTGGCTCTAAGATTGGGACAATGAGAATTCCAGAACCCCACATGAATGATGTTTCGATTGAATAAGTATTAACGTCCAAAGGGAACTCGAAGAAAATAGGTCGAGCTACGGTATCACCCTTTGTATGTGCCTCATGAAACAAGGTGTAGAGGTAGGGCAGCAAACGATAACGCAAATTGACAGCATACTTGGTAGCAGCGACAACTTTGGGTCCTAATGCAACTGGATCTTGTTCAATAGTATCAAAATCATTGTGGTTACGAGAGAAAGGATAAAAAGCTCCAAGTGAAGACCATCTCATACACAGCTGTTCAGTCGTGTTCCCAGCAAATCCACAAATATCACTACCAATCATGGGAATTCCGTAAATATTAAATTCCAGCATATCTGTAAATAGAGTGAAAAAGAAATTAAGATTCTGTGAATAAAACTTAAAAATATAAACCTAGACAAAAACTAAATTTAGAAATAAAAATGATCTGAAAATAAGAATATGTTTATTCTAAATTCAAATCAGAATTCATGTTGCTAATCTAATATAACTGATTATTAGCTGATTAAACACAAAAAGCCAGTCTTTCATGAATGCTTTTTGATGGTCAAATCAAGTTAAACTCTGTGATCTTTCCAGATTAACCATACTAAATCTAAATTTTCCAATTTAATAAACTAATGTTTAAAAAACCCAAAGATCATGGTTTTAGGTCATTTCAAAATGAGCCGACTAAGTTAAATTTACTTGAGATTGAATATTTCATGAAATCCCATGTAGATCGAATGTCACCAGACCAATGTGATCCATAATGACCCTGGGATGGGAATGTTGAACGAGACAATATGAAAGGTCGAATTCCAGTTATATTTTTAACAGCCCTGCAATCAAAAAGAAATGGACGAAAATAAGTGATATTAAATGATCTTAATCTTTCTGAAATTTTGAATCAACTTACTCGTAGGTAGCGACAGTTTCGAGTAAACCAAACAAACTGTGAACATCGTAATGAAGGCCACCATGTTGCTTACAAGACATACAAATAGTATTATTGTTTAAAGGCTGAATTCCTGGAGTATAAGGTGGATATTCATAACTATTATTAGGACATGGCATAATCTGGTGGAAGTTATAGGGCTCATTCATGTCGATCCAAACACCATCATAATCAACTTGGTTCTTCAAGTCAATAAATTGTTTCGTCCAATAATTTAATGTTGCAGGATTTGTGAAATCAGGGAATGCAGTTGTTTCAAAATTCCAAACTCGACCAAGGAAAATTTCACCTGACTTATTTTTGATGAATATATCGTCTTTTTTGCCATCATCAAGAGGAGGATAGCTTCCAGGAGGTTCTGAACCGCTAACACCGGCATCCTATTGAATAGTGAGACATTATTAGTGTTTACTAGAGAAGTGGATTTATTCTGGAAATGGTGTGTTAAAACTTACAGCTTACCATTATCAGTACGTAGTGTAATCTCATGGAATGTAGCTCATTGACAAAGTCAGATAAACCAGCAAAATTTACTGGATCAACAGTGAAATCATTGTACCGGTCCATGTAGTCAATGTCATTCCACTGAGTCTCAATAGGTATTCCAGCCTGAATATTTCTAAAAAAGGTTTCCCGAGTTTTGTTGGTACTTTTGTAATCATATCGACACAAATGGAAACCAAGAGACCAGTATGGCTGCATTACTGGTCGTCCAATCAAGTTGACATTTTGACGGATGACTTGAGGTGCTGTTGGTCCAAGAAATATGAAAAAGTCTAAGATACCACCAATGGTTCTCCATGTTATTGCTGGAGCTGGTTGAGTTATTATGTCCATAGCATTGCTATTGAGCAAGAATACTCCGTGCGCTTGATTGTCCGGTTCAATCATCAAGTAAAATGGATATGATGCATACAAATTGATATTTTCAGTGGGATTGGTTCCACCAGCAAACAAAGTATATCTTTTCCAACCATCGATAGTCTTTCTGAAAGTGTCTTTATGTTCTCCTAAACCATAGAGAAAATTGTTCACAAGAAGTGACGATAATTGGATGAACTGATTGGCATATATTAGCTTGGATAGATCAACATTGAAGATTGAAGTTCCAGTTGATTGACGAGAGACTTGGAGGTTTCCAGTGTCTCTATTTATTTTGATTGAGTATAGAGGTGAATTGATGGTTGACTGTGATACATTGAGAAAAGGCATGGGCACTTCAAATCTCGAAGCATCAGCGTCGACAAATCGTATCCGAACTCGTTCATTGTCAAGGCCAATCACTTCCAAATTCACATTAGAAACATCCTGAGGTAATCCAGAACTGGAATTGCGTGTCAGTCTAACTGTAACTCCATTTTTCCTGTTTTCAATCCCTTTGATCACATATCCTTGATAATTGGTTGGGAAAAAACACTTTGGTGATCCATTGTCATCTACACAAGAAATAGATTAATTATCCTTAGACTAATAAACAAAAATTTAAAATATTGAATGGACTTTAAATAAATATTAAAATTAAGACAATATAAATAAATTGTAAACAAACCGCACCTTTATTAGGATACCAACAGCAACCCCTTGACTCACACGTTTCCTTGTTACTTGGATCATCTGGGTTGCAATCAAACCTAAAATCACTAGGAATTGAGCAAACGTTATTTGAAACTTCAATACTTTCTACATTAAAGATTGTAATAAACAGAATTGCACTAATAAACAACATAATTGTGATTATTTGTTCGCGAGTTTGTTTACATATTGCAATGTGCCAAAATTTGATCGTTTGGGAAACAATTAGTCTAGATCTTTTTATTAGAGCGGTTAGTTGAGTGTTACAACGAATAGATAAGAAGCTTAAAGGCAATAAAGTTAACAATTGATTTTATTTGACAATACAATGATACCAATTAACTTAAAATCTCGTGCTTTGCATTGTTTACAATTAAGAGTCGATTGAAAACAATCGTCTGTAAGACAATTGACAAAACAATGACATAATACCAAAGAGTCACTCTTTGCATAATACTTTTTACAAAGTCTTTCATTACTGGTTGCTTTGAAGCAGTTTATTCAAACGGTGGAATATTGAAAATATAAAATACAGCTGTGAAAATGGAGTTAGACCTCGACACCATATCTTTGACGCATTGTTTGGTATTAATAAGTGGGAGATAAGTCTGAAAATAATCATTGATTTTTCGAAACAGAATACAAAATATTCGAACGAAGCTTTCAATTTTTGAAACGATTTTCAGCTTTTGATTTTTTTATTTTTATTTGAAAATATTATATTATTTTGAAACTTTAATTCAATAAAATGATGATTAGAATGATTTTTCGTCCCTTTGATCAATCCGAATTGAATTATTCCTTATTCCAATCAATGACATTTCAATCAAAGGCAAGATATTTTTATTCATTGTTCATGTGACAATTCTTTGTCAATCACAAGAATTATTAGATTTTTGTCTAATTTAACGATTTTAAGACTCATTTTTAATTCAGCTGATGAACGTTAATCAATCAAAATGTAAAATGATTGATGAGAATTTACAGAAGAAGTATTAATACTAAAAGAAGAAGAAATAAAGAAGTAGATGAAATTCGGTACAATTCATGGTTTCCTGTTTCATGGTATAGAGAATAAACTCAATACTTTTCAAACATTAAGCCGAAAAGAAACTTATAAAGTCTGTTCCATTGACACGACTCAACTTTAAAATTTATCGTATTAGCTCAAACGATTTGAAAAAGGTGAAACCAAAATGATCTTTTTGTCAAAATCTGCTCTGACAATATCAATTCGAGCAATTTGTATTGCTATATTCGCTTGGCAATTCTATTTATTAACTCAAAATTTTCAAGAATTCAATGTTCGTAAAGAAAAGACACACTACATTCCGAATGAGATCGAATTGCCTGAAATCAGAATTAAAATTCCGTATCAATTTGCGTTGGATCCTGTGATATTACAAACAAAATATAAATCTCGATTCGATGAAGTTTGCAGACACTTTTCAGTTAAAAAGGATTGTGATGGACATTTAACGAATCCCATTCTATTTGCAAAATCATTCAGTCCATATTTACAGTTGTCCGATATTGCTAATTATTCGTATGCACCTGAAATATTAATGCCAAGGATTTTTATGGCGGGACCCAAGGTAGACCCTCGAACGACTGGAAAATGCAAGTTGATTAGTGAAGCTTCTTCTTCGTGCTTAGTTCTCATATTGAGGTGTCTGGACTCATCTGGTCTACCGTTGAAACTATCCCGTGCTGAGGTGGTTACTTATAGCGCCAATCACTTGTTTGCTTTCAAATTGAATGCAACAGCTATGTTATTGAATATAGTTTATCCAGAAAAGGCTTTGGTTGAAGATGACAGTCTTTATGCTTATTCATCGCTAACTCCAGGAAAACAAATTACACATGGAATTGGTTTCACAAAACACACTGAGAACTTATTACCTTCTCCCTACAGAACAATGTGCAAAGATTATAATAAACGTCAAACATTTGAAGATTGTCTAAATGCCAATTCGATTGACCAAACAGGGTTGCTTTTCCCCGAAACTACAGTTTCTTTAGAAAAGTACAGAAAAGAAAGTGAAGTACGCTTCAATGCAATATTCCATACGGACAATGGCACTTTACTAAAAATTTATAAACAATGTCGATCTCTCGTTACTCAACCAATGTGCAGTTCTGTTCAATATTCATTCAAAATGACCAAAACCATTGAGGATGTTTCAAAGGGTGAAGAGAGTCTGATATTACTTTTCACCGTTTCATCTGAACCTGATTCATTAATCGAGAGTAAACCAGAATTTCCTCTTTCCGATTATCTCATTTTAAGTGGCAGTTTGATCAGTACATGGTTTGGTATCAGTATAATGGGCCAGTTGCTTGTTGCAAGTAACTTGTTTTACTTGGCCGTTGAACGTAAAAACCCAGTCGTTTCGGAGAATCAAAACGAAGCGTCAGAGTCCCAAGTGAACAGTGATTAATCTTTCACGCATATCTACTTCAGTTTAATTCGTAAGAAAATTCTACATCTTGTACTGTATCTTTAATAAAGCATTTGATTTTAAACTATCTGAACTATTAGCTATTTAGACAATAATGAAAGAGAAATTATAAAAATGAATTTTTCAAGATCAGCTTATGGAACTCCTGCATCTTTAACATATCGCATGTCTCCTAAAGAAGTTCATCCACAACAATGTCCAAGTTTAGTAGACACTTTTACTTTTCTCGGTATAAAACCTTTTTATGTCATAAAACATCGCGGTTATATCGACTTCACAGCCACATCAAAGTGTAAAATGATTGATGAGAATAACAACGTTTAGAAGAGAAAAAACTGGATTCATGTTACTATAAAATAAACTCAATAATTTTCAACTATCCAAAGTTGAAACTCATAAATTCTGTTTCGTTGAAAAGAAAAACCCTTGCAATTTATCGTATTATTATTTGCTCAAACGATTTGCAAAAAGGTGAAACCAGAATATCATTATCAAAATCTACTCTGACAACATCAATTCGAGCAATTAATTTTTTATTAATGCTATTTTCTCTTAACAAGTCTATTTCTCTATTAATCAATAAATTAATTCTATTTATTTATTATTGATATTATAAACATTATTATTTACATTCGATCTTTGGTTATCAATCAAAATGTAAAATGATTGATGTGAATTCAAAGGTTAAGCAGAAAAAGTTAAATGAATATAATTGTATTCATGGCTCATTGTCCAGAAATATCGACTAAATGATTTCGTTAGTGACACATTTGACTTAAGTCTGAACTATTATAGTTACCAAAATTAAACTCACTGAATTGGTTAACTTTAGAGTTTAAAGGGAAACTTTCGAAGAAAGGTAAAGAGGAAAAAGAAATGATCTTTTTTCTTAAATCAACTCTTACAGTTTCAATTCGTGCGATTTGTATTGCTACATTCGCTTGGCAATTCTTTCTATTGACTCAAAACTTTCAGGAATTCAATGTTCGAACAACAGTGAAAAATACATTCCGAATGAAATTGAATTGCCTGAAATCAGAATTCAAATCCCTTATCAATTTGCGTTGGATCCTGTGATATTACAAACAAAATATAAATCTCAATTCGATGTGGTTTGCAGTCACCTTTCAACCAAAAATGAATGCCTTCTCCACACAAAACAATGTGCAAAGATTATAATCGACGTCAAACATTTGAAGATTGCCTAAACGCTAATTCGATTGACCGAACAGGGTTGCTTTTCCCTGGAACTACAGTTTCTTTGGAAAAGTACATACAAACGAGTAAAATACGTTTCAATGGAATGTTCAGTTATGATAATGGTACTTTAACGCGAAATTTATAAACAATGTCGATCTCTTGTTACTCAACCAATGTGCAGTTCAGTTTAATATTCATTCAAAATGTCTAAAACCAGTGAAGTTGTTGCAAAAGGAGAAGAGAAGCTGATATTCCATTTCAGCGTTTCATCTGAGCCTGATTCATTAATAGAGAGTAAAGCAGAATTTCCTCTTTCCGATTATATCATTTTAAGCGGCAGTTTGATCAGTACATGGTTTGGTATCAGTATAATGGGTCAATTGCTTGTTACAAGTAACTTGTTTTGCTTGGCCGTTGAACGTAAAAGCCCAGTCGTTTCGGAGAATCAGAATGAAACAATGGAACCCCGAATAAACAATGATTAATTCTTCCCTAATATCCACAGCAGTTTAATTTCGAAAAAATTTGTACCTTCTTGTACTGTATCTCAAATGAAATTGTGTTAAAAATCAGAACAATTAACTATTTAGTAGACTGAGAGAACTGATAAAAATAAAATTTTCTTGAGATTCTTTGTTTTTTTTATTTGATTTTCACTTTCAACTTGCAATTCAAACATTTTTTTCTGCAATAGTTTAGTATCAGAAATTCAACGCGAAATTTGCTAAATAAACAAGAACTTTCTTTCTTACTTGAAAATAATTGAATGATCTTCACTGAGTTTCACCATCATAATCCTAATATAAAAGAGGCAATTATGAAGCATTGTTTAAAGAATTACCGAATATGTACGTGCGATATTTACTAGATTGGGTAAAGACGCGCTGATGATTTGTCGAAGCATTTAATACATTTTTTGCTTCGATTTTACTCATCTTTTCAAATGTCGCTGGACTGACAGACAGAGTCATGAAAAATACCTGAAACAGATAAATGTTTAGTAATTTAATTCATTTGCAAATTGAAATCAAGAAAGAAACGTTTCAAATAATTAATAGTTGAGTGGTTCAATGGGTAGATAAGAAGCATAAATGGCGTTTACCAATTGATTTTATTTGACATTACAATGAAATTGCACCTTCCCTTGTAAGTTAACTGATCTCGCCCTTGGTCAGGATCTTTGACACTACAATGAAATCAATTAAATTTAATCAATCAATGCTTTGCATTTTACAATTAAGAGTCGATAATAAAACAATAGTCCGAAAGTCAATTTTATTATTTACAAAATAATAACACAATACCTGTTTTCGCCGTCTTTCATTACTGATTGTTTTCAGGTAACTAGTTTTAAAAGATGAAACATTGAGAATATTAATAAAATAAAATTTCGTGGATCATTTCGAATGGTGATATACAGAAAATAATCATTCACTTCTTGAAACAGATAACGAAATATTCAAATGAAGCTTCAATTTCAACTGAAGATAAATCATTTGTTCCGAATATCTCATGTAAATCTTTTTTGATGCCATTCATTAGAATCTCATCCTTCTCTGGATATTTGCTTCGGAATAACTCACTGGTTCCAAGAGAGTTAATTAAATCAATAAGGTAAGTTGCTGGTCGCCTCAATGTGGTTACGAATGTATCTTCATAACAGACCTTATCGAAGGGTAAATTGAGTCCACGATACTTATTCAAAACACGCTCAACAAATACTTGCACTGGGTATCCATGATCTTGCCATAGTTGGAAGGTTCTTTCAAAAATATTTGATATTCGATCAAGGTTGACAGTTGTGTCATCAAGACGAATACACTTTGGGACTGGATAGTAGCCAATCGTGGCGAATAAACCATTTTTCGATAAAAGGGAATCGACTTTGGAGTTGAATTTGTCAATGTTGAAAAAATGAAGAGCTTCACACACCGTTATTAATTGAACCGAATTATCCTCTAAATCAATCTCTTCTCCAGGACTTATCTACAACAATTAAGATCAAAATCACGTGAATATTAATGGATAGAGAAGATCGTATTAACTTACCTTGAAAGTTACATTGTCAAATTTATTCCGTTCAATTGCTTCTTTGATTTGAGGTACACTTATATCATAACCAATAACCTGATCAAAGTAATCAGCTAACTTGAATGTCGCCTGACCTGAGCCACAACCAACGTCAACTGCTCGAGACCATTTATTGTTGCTATTGGGTGGACAATGTTTGGAAAGTTGTTTTATAATTGAATTAATCAACTCATGGGATGGAGTTGGTCGAACCTCAATGTAAATCGAAGCTACTTGGCTTGAATCATATTGCCTGTTTGTCATTATTTTCAATTTTCAATCAAAAGAAAGCACTAATTGAATTTAATACTGCCGCAAGTTGTTGATCAACACTTGAATCTACCCTTCATTTCAACAAAATATATCTCTTTTCCTCTGATGGATTGGGCGGGTTTAATTAACCAGAATAACTGTTAGATCTAGATCAAGATTGGTGTAAAATACCTTATTATCAAAGCAAATCATGCTTAGATAAGGATTATTATGAAACTGGTTACAATCGTTCAATATTTTATTGTTATTCAAGGATTATTTTGACCATTACTGGTCTAACTGCTATTTGAAACAATTTATAAATCGATTCTATTAACACTTATTTTTCTAGAAAGATATTAAATATTGACATTGAAACCGAAGTATTGATCAAATTGGATCTTTTAAGTTGTGAAGTTCGTTGAAATTCATGAGGGATGATATTGAATCCAAGTCATTAAGATTTATAGATTCTGTTCTGATTGTGTAAAACAGTCATAACAGAGGGTATTCCATTAATTTATGATCATAAAAAAGTTAACTATTGCAATTACCTTGATATGATGTCGATTGTGAGTTAATCAAGATATGTCTCATTGTTTACTAAAGCAAGTGCCAACCAAAGGGGAGATTTCAAATCTATGCAAAATCAATCAATTTTAAAAATTGCTGAGTGAACCAGCTGCAAGAGATTAGAGGTCAGTTGGACACTATCTACCGATTATATGTAAAAGACCAAGGTCAATCAAAACGGAGTTTCTTCGTGAATCCACTTACTAATAAATCTAATTGTGTCGATTCCGTTTTGATAAATCATTTGAATATTCTTTAGTTTTGTTAAAAAATTTCCGATTCAAATATTTATAAAATTCATATTCAGGAAAAGCAACCTGATTCTGGCCCATTTTAACTAATTAACTAATAGTACGTTCCGGACTACAACACTGTAAATGCACTTTTATTTCAATTTTTGGCTAAATATGCATATGGTGCCATCTGTGTAATGCTTCATTGTTTATGAGACTAACGGTAAAGCTTCGTCAGCCTTGGCAAAGGTTTCTCCGAAGATGGGTTCTCTTACTCGACCAAAAATACTACTAAAGTATTATTTAATTTATTATCCTAAAACCTTTTGGTCTCCTTTTCACGAGGAAACACTTCGAAGACGTAACCTTTATTTATTCTGTTGGATGTTATGTTTTTGATGGGTTTATTGAGTTGATTTTGGCATCTCCTCTCCCTCTCTTGATTATTGCTGATTTGTTTGAATGATCTCTAGTGATTTATTGTGAATTTATCATGTCTTTACTGTCACTAATACTTGATTCGTCTCATGAGAAACTCCGCTAACCTCCTAACAGTTTCTAATCACCATTCTGAATTGCTATGAAAGGGGATAAAGTTATCTAGATTTAGCTCTTGTTTTTAATAAACTTAAAACCTTAATTGCTCTCTCTCTCTCTATTGAACAACGAAAAAATATTCCTTGTTTGATTGTTGTCTCTCGATGCTTTCACAGCTCTGAAGACTTTTTTGACTTGACTTTTAAAGAGTATCAACTTGATATTTTTAAATGATCATGGATCACTTTATTCCGTCACTTTGGCCAATCTTGAACTATTGGTACTCTTCCTGACGAAGGTTAATTCAATCAAGATTATCAAATGCTTAGGAAACATGCATAAAAAACCATTACAAGGTTAAACTCAAGTCTCAAGTTCCTCATGAATATTTTTACCTCTAAGAATCAGATTAATTTGTATGACAAGCTGATGGATAACTTTGCTTTTCTTTTAATTCTTAAACAAAACCAACGTAATATGCCTAACATGATAGAAGCAGAATCTGATTATGAGATTACTTTCGCTGATTGGGTTCATCAAACTCCAACATTGAAAACAATGGAAATAACAATACTCAGCCTGACACGCGATCTCTGTTCATTGATATTGAATCAAGCTTCAAAAAAGCTTTGCACTAACAACAAGGGTGAACCAGTGTTGATTTTTCAATATTGATCTCTATCTAATTATAGCCAAAATTTTAAAGATAAACTTCGATTATTATAAGAACAAAGAAACACAAGTTGACTAAAAATTAGTAGTTAATCTTCGTATATTGTTCATTTGCCTTCGTTTGGAATCGTTGATTAATGTCCTTGCATATGATAAAAGATGTTTCTTGAAGTAAAATATTAATAGGTATTTAGCAAGAAATTCAAAGCTGTCTGTGAAAGACGATTCACTATTTTGATTGAAATAACATGAAATGAATGAAATATTGTTGGAAATGTGGAGATTGCTACCTATGGAAACACAATTAGAGATAATATAAGCATCAATTTCAATAATATCTGTTTATCATTTAATAGCACATAAAATGTGATTATATTAATAGTTCAATGGCTTTTAATTGAGATCACGTTGTCGAGACGTGAACAAATTAGCCGATATACCGAGATATAATCAATGAATTATCTGACTTTAAGTAAAGATGAATATTAAGCCGTTAGCAATAGATCTCTGTCTGGCTTTGATAGGATCAGTTGATTAGCTTACACAATAATAAATCTTGTATTTGTTTAAGTTTTTTATTATGATTTCAATACCAAAAACATAAAAAACAAGAGCTGTTGAACAATAGAAGCGAAGTTCAATTAAATATTTCCGTTACAGATCACTATTAGATTAACTACTGATCACTAGATTGATAATTTTCAAGTTATTATAATCATCTATTTTAATGTGAAATGATAAAATTAAACATTGATATCCAGTATTAATTGTTGCAATAACCAGACAGTTATCAGAGTTAATCAAATAGTGAAAAGTTATTAGATAAGAAGCTGCCTTTTAATAATGAAAATGCTCGTTGTTAGGCACTTTTACTTGGATCACAATGAAGTTAACGTTACCAATATCGGTGTGTTTATGCTTGCTTCACCTCGTTCTTACACGAGGAGAAAGTACCGTGGATGAGGAACCCGAATTAAAGATCTCAACTGGACTTATAAAGGGTAAATCGGTTCATTTTCGAGGAATCAAAGTTTACAACTTTTTGACGATTCCTTACGCTGAGCCACCAGTCAAAGACTTACGATTCAAGAAGCCAGTACCAAAAAAGCCTTGGAATGGATTGTTGGAGACAAACAAGTGGGGTCCTTATTGTGCTCAACCAGATTTACTTGGGTTGACTGCTAGTGTTACAGTGACTGAAGATTGTTTGGTTTTGAATGTCTTTGTGAGAGCATCCGCTATAAATGACAAACAAAAAGGCGTTAAAAGGCCACGACCAGTCATGGTTTGGATTCACGGAGGCGCTTTCAGCCATGGGTCAGCAAATCAAGTTGATGAAAGTGATGGCACTCCATTAGCTGGACTTCACGATGTAATTGTTGTAACAGTAAACTATCGTTTGGGTCCATTTGGTTTCCTGTATTTACCTGAACTGGGTATTCCTGGTAACATGGGTCTTTGGGATCAAAACCTGGCTCTGCAATGGGTTAGAGATAACATTGAATACTTTGGTGGTGATCCAAATAGAGTAACACTTTTCGGTCAATCAGCTGGTTCAATGTCAGTTTCAGCTCACGTTGTGTCACCTCAATCAAAAGGATTATTTAAAAATGTGATTCTTCAAAGTGGCGCCATTTATGATTTTAAACGATGGACTGTTGCAGACGTTAATAAGCCTTTTATAAAAGCCACTGGTTGCTCATCCGAATCAAATGAAAAAATTGTTTCATGTTTATCCTCATTCGACTATAAAAAGCTTGAAAATGTTGATAGCTTTTGGCCTGTAATTGGTGATGAATTTCTTCCACAAGAACCTGAAAAGGCTGTTGCTTCAAAAGGTTTTGACTCCAAAATCAATGTTTTATTAGGAACTGTTGGTAACGAAGGAGCAGTTTTATTGTTGGTCAAAGATCCACTTACTTTCGCTCCAATTAATCCAACCAACCTGACTTTACCACATGCTAAACATATTTTGAAATTGTTATTTGGTGAACCAGCACTTCCCTACTACATTGAAAAATACTTGTCCAGTGTTTCGCCAAATGATCCTGATGCCATCAGAATTGCCGTCTCTTCAGCTTATGGTGATACATTTTTATCTTGTCCAACCTATGTCTTTGGACATGATCTGGTTAAAAATGGACATGCAAATGTCTATGCTTACTACCAATCACAGCGACCTTCGCAAAATATACTTCCTTTCATAACACCAAGTAAATGGTTACCAGCCAGTCATGGTGATGATGTTCCTATGGTTTTTGGCAAGCCTTTCTTGCAAGCTGATAAATACATAATTGAAGATGTCATATTATCCAATATAATGATGAAAGTTTGGGCTGATTTCGCTAAAAAAGGGTAAGTCGATGGAGATTAAGTTGTCAGTTGAAACATATTTTGATTTTTGTATATTTCTTGTTTCCAATTTAGCAAACCTTCACCTATTGGTACTGAAAAATGGTCCGCTTGGAGGCCTAGTGAAGTCAACAATCATCCAGTTATGATACTGGATTCGCATAAAATTGATGTTGTCGACGTAAATTTTTGCGATCGTTGTCTTAGTTCATGGCCATTCCCATTTGGAGCTGCAAATGGAAAGCCTTTGACTCCTGAACCTGGTAAGTATGACTTCGCTCCATTTTTGAATTTCGTTTTAATTTCTGTTGAATTACAGGTTTCTTTGCTTGGATTGAAAAAAATCACGAGGAACTTTGATGACATCGTTTGAAATATTAATAGCAAATAAAATGCTTTTGTACACTATAAATTGATATAACAATTTTGATTTCTTTGTGCGTTTGGAAAGCATATGATGGAAATGAAAAATAATGCTTTCCTTTTTATCGTTAAGTATCTGTAAAAATGGTCAAATATTTAAAATCAAGATGGATTTTTTAAGTAAACGTTACGCTTACATCTAGAGTATTCGTCGTGACCAAAATCTGGAGACTTAAAAGGGTCAAAGCTATAAAAATGGACTTTTCGGGATCAGTTTATGGTACACCAGCAGATTTAACATTTCGCATGTTCACTAAAGAGCTTCACCCACAACTATGGCCTCGTTTCTTATTAGATACTTGTACTTTTCTCGTCATAAAACCTTCTCATGTCATAAAAAAACATCGTGGCTATACCGGCGTCACAGCCACATTAGTGATAACCTTCACAAAACCAAAGAAAAGAATCAAAATGTTAAATGATTGATTAGAATAACATGTAGAAGAGAACAGACTGGATTCATGGTACTGTGAAGTTAACTTGATTTATCAAGTAATTATCAACAATTCAAAGTTGAATAAAAACTCATAGATTCTGTTTTGTTGAAACAGAAATCGTTAAAATTCATCGTATTTGCTCAAACGATTTGCAAAAAGGCGAAACCAGAATATTTTTTATCAAAATCTACTCTGACAGCATCAACTCGAGTAATTCGTTATCAATCAAAATGTAAAATGATTGATGTGAATTCAAAGGTTAAGCAGAAAAAGTTGATGAATTTAATTGTATTCATGGCTCATTGTCAAGAAATATCGACTAAATGATTTCGTTAGTGACACATTTGACTTAAGTCTGAACTAGTTACCAAACTTAACCTCATTGGATTGATTAACTTTAGAGTTTAAAGTAAAATTTACAAAGAAAGGTAAAGAGGAAAAGAAATGATCTTATTTCTTAAATCAACTCTTGCAGTTTCAATTAGAGCGATTTGTATCGCTATATTCGCTTGGCAATTCTATTTATTAACTCAAAATTATCAAGAATTCAATGTTCGTAAAGAGGTGACGCACTACATTCCGGATGAAATTGAATTTCCTGAAATCAGAATTAAAATTCCGTATCAATTTGCGTTGGATCCTGTGATTTTACAAACAAAATATAAATCACAATTCGATGAAGTTTGCAGTGACCTTTCAACCAAAAAGGAATGCAATGGTCATTTAACGTATCCTCTAATATTTTCAAAATCATTTGGTCCATATTTACGTTTGTCGGATATTGATGATCATTCGTATGCACCTGAAATGTTCATGGCAAGGATTTTTACGGCGGGACCCAAGGTAGACCCTCTAAAGACTGGAGAGTGCAAGTTGATTAGTGAAGCTTCTTCATCCTGCTTGGTTCTCATATTGAGATGTCTGGACTCATCTAGTCTACCATTGAAGCTATCCCGTGTTGATGCGGTGGTCAACAATGCAAATCATTTGTTTGGTTTTCCCCTGAAAGCTAAAGCGATGTTATTGAATCTAGTTTATCCTGGTAAAGCTGCGGTTGAAGATGACAGTCTTTATGTTTATTCATCTCTAACTCCAGGAAAACAAGTTACACATGGAATCCACTTCACAAAACACACTGAGAACTTATTGCCTTCTCCACACAAAACAATGTGCAAAGATTATAATCGACGTCAAACATTTGAAGATTGTCTAAACTCTAACTCGAGCGATCAAACAGGATTGCTCTTCCCTGGAACTACAGTTTCTTTAGAAAAGTACAAGCAAACGAATGAAATACGCTTCAATGCAATGTTCCGTAAGGATAATGGTACTTTATGTGAAATTTATAAACGATGTCGATCTCTTGTTACTCAACCAATGTGCAGTTCAGTTCAATATTCATTCAAAATGAGCAAAACCATTGAAGATGTTGCAAAAGGAGAAGAGAAGCTGATATTTCATTTCAGTGTTTCATCTGAACCTGATTCATTAACAGAGAGTAAACCAGAATTTCCTCTTTCCGATTATATCATTTTAAGTGGTAGTTTGATCAGTACATGGTTTGGCATCAGTATAATTGGCCAATTGCTTGTTGCAAGTGACTTGTTTTGCTTGGCCGTTGAACGTAAAAAAACAGCCGTTTCGGAAAATCAAAACGAAGCAGTAGAACCCGAAGTTATCAATCAATAATCTTCCCCTAATACCTACTCCGATACATCAGTTTAATTTATTTATTTAGTAGACTAAGAGAGCAGTCTCCTCATACAATTGTTTGGTATCAGAAATTTAGAGCGAAATTTGCTGAACGGACAAGAAATTCCTGTTTTTTAGGGCAACAATGGTATGATTTTCACTGAGTGTCATCATCCAAAATCCTAATAAAAGAGAAAATTATGAATTATTGATAAAAATGCTGACTGAATGTTTACTCGATTGGGTAAAGACTTGCTGATGATTCGTCGAGCCATTTTAATATATTGTTTGCTTTGATTTTACTCATATTTTCAAACTGCTGGACTGAGAGACATGCATTTAGAGCCATGAAAAATACCTGAAACAGATAAATGTTTAGTAATTTAATTCATAATTTTGCTAGAGCAAATTGAAGTCATGAAAGAAACATTTCAAGTTAGTTAGTTGAGTGGTTCAATGAGTAGATGCAGAGCATAAAAGACGATTACCACTCGATTTTACATGTATGTGACAATACAATGAAACCAATTAGCTTCATCAATTAAATTCAATCTCGTGCTTTGAATTTTTTACAATTAAAAGTCGATTGAGAACAATCGTCTGAAAATCAATTCTGTTATTTACAAAACAATAACATAATTTAATATAATACTTTTTTCAACGTCGTCCATACATGATTATTTTCAAGTACAGTTAGTTTTGAAAATGGAGCATTTAAATATAAAATAATCTTCCATGGATGATTCGGAATGGCGACAAAAAGAAAGCTTGAAACAGATAACGAAATATTCAAATGTAGCTTCGATTTCAACTGAAGATAAATCATTTGTCCCGAATATCTCATGTAAATCTTTTTTGATGCCATTCATTAGAGTCTCATCCTTTTCTGGATATTTGGTTCGGAATAACTCACTGGTTCCAAGAGAGCAATTCTAATTAAATCAATGAGGTAATTTGCTGGTCGCCTCAATGTGGTTACAATGTATCTTCATAACAGACCTTATCGAAGGGTAAATTGAGTCCACGATACTTGTTCAAAACACGTTCAACAAATATTCAATGGTTATTTAAGTAACTACAACTCTCTCTTCTCTCAGACTAACGGTTAATCTTCGCCCGCCTTGGTAAATATTCTTCGATGATGGGTTCTCTTACTCAATCAAAAATGCTATTGTTCACAATTTACTATTCCAAACTCGTTTTCACGAGGAAACGCTTCGAAAACGTAACCTTTATTTATTATGTTGGTTGCTATGTTTTGATGTATTTATTGAGCCAAAGAGTAAATGAAGAAGAGAGAGCAATTCAATGGTGAATCTCACCGAAAATTTTTTTCTGGTGACAGAAGATGGCGCGAGAAAGAGACTCTTTTTTTCTCTTTCTTTTCAGAATTGCAAATTCAATTACAGTCAACCCTCGAGTTTTTTGTTTTTTTGGAGTGCTGACATCTATGTGAACTACAGGGGGAAAAATAAATTTTACAGTTTAAACAATTAATCCACTCTAATGATTCCCCTTTAGCCTCACTAGTAGAGAGTCTCTACCCATCTCCCTTCAGGGGGGAGTCATTAGAGTGGACTTATTGTTTAAACCGTAAAATTTAATTATTTCCCCCTGATGTCAGCACTCCAAAAAAAACAAAAAACTCAAGGGTTGACTGTAATACAATTAATATAAACATTAGAAAAGACTTTTTTGATTGTTGTTCAATGTTTTTAATGTTATTTTTATTGATTTTGATGATTTCAATGCTTAGATTTCTTATTTATGATGATTTAACAAGAAAAAGGCCATTTTAACTAGTAAAGTCTGAATTCATCAAGCAAAAGTCTATCAAAAAGTTTTTTTATTTATTTTATTTTGATAAAATCATTTATATTTCATTTGAAACAATTTTTTTTGGAGATTCTTGTTTTGTTGCCTTTCCTTGTGTGTCATTTGCCACCCGGATCTTTTCCTGAGCAAACACCATCATTTGCTCAGCTTTTCTTTTTAAATCCCTTCCCTCTAGCCTTATCCCTTCTTCTTCAGCCGGATCATTTCCAAGGCTAGAATTAGCATGCACAAACTTACCAATAGCTTTATCATGAATCCGACGCCCTTCGCTCCACTTTCCTTGCTCTCCTGGCCATTTTCTTGGCAATCATGGGATCAATGTCCCCAGAGGCTTCATACTGAGCTGGAACCTCAGCATCCCTCTCTTTCTTTCTTTTCTTGGTTCTGGATGAGGTTATAGCCTCATTCATATCAAGGTTAGTTCTGAAAAGAACTGTTTTTTTGTAGTGAAAAGACGTTTGGTACGAAGGGGTAGCGAACGCTCAATCTAAGAGGAACTAATCCACTGGAAAGCTTTGTCATCAAACATCTTCACAAAGTCAAACACCACGTACCATCTGAATCATACTCTCTCTTCCTCAGTGCCATTGAAAATCATGCAAAAGACATCTCATCGTCGCCGTCATACCATATCCACCAAACTCATCGCCAGCAAACTTTATTCAAAAAACCGCCAAGCTTGCGAAATGTATCGTTCTCATTTCGCATTACCATCCATCCGCACCATAGATCGTCATAATCATCATCTTTCAACGCATCCAGGTATCACCGACACAACACAAGACATTCTAAAAAGAGCCGCAGCAACTCTGGACGAGCAAGATACCTTCTGTGTGTTAAGCTTCGATGAAACTGAGATCACTCCAGAATTGAGATACACTGATAGAATCTGTGGCTATGTTGATATGGGAAAGCATGGTCGCACAAAAGCATTTGCCACTTAAGTTTTAGTTTTCGGATTGAGAGGATTGGATAGTAGATGGAAAAAATAGACTCATTATATTTCTTACCTCGTTGCGGTTACACCGCAGAAATCCTTAAAAAGCTTGTCGAGGAGAATTTAGAAGTCTCACTCAAAGCAGGATTCCGTGTTGTTTCAACGGTTTGTGATGGATATTTGGTGAAATGAGCACTAGCTCCCATGTTGGGAACATCAATCAATTCTTCTTCATTTGAATTCGCTGGCAATAAAATAGCTATTCTTTATGATATCCCTCACATTTTCAAATTGATAAGGAATCACTGGCTAACTAAACCCTTGTCGTTAAGATTAGAAAATGCTGAGGAAATCATAAAATGGACGGATTTAGCTAATTATCTCCGTCCTCAAATAAAAGCTCCTTTCTACCAGTGCCCGAAGCTGACAGCCTTGCACCTTGATCCTACTTTCACCGCTGAAGATGATCCCACAGAAGATTTCAGTGCTTTAAATGACCATAGAATCACCAATAATTCACCTGATCGTCATGTCATTTCATACATTGCTGGATACATCATCAAATGCATCAAAAAAAAGAAATCATCATGTTCAAACTGCATATCATCAATTGACACAACTCATCTTCTACCAGTCCATTCATTCACCCGCATCAGAGAGTATTTTGGCGAAAATTCAACTTATCATCTTCAGTATTTTCGGTGAGATTTACCATTGAATTGCACACTCTTCTTCCTTTACTCTTCGATTGAGCTGATTCTGGTTGTCAGAGTATCTGTTTTGGCATCTCCTCTCCCTGATTACAGTAATTTTCGATTGAAAAGACCAATCGAAAATTACTGTATTGCTGATTTGTCTGAATAGATGATTGAATAATTTCTAGTGATTTACTGTGAATTTATCATGTCTTTACTGTCACTAATACTAATACTTATCATAAAGAACTTCATTAACCTCCTAACAGTTTAAAATCAACATTCTGAATTGCTATGAAAGTGGATAAAGTTATCTAGATTTCGCTCTTGTTTTTAATAAACTTAAAACCTTAATTGCTCTCTCTATTGAATACAAAAAAATATTTCCCTTTTGATTGTTGTCATTCGATGCATTCCCGTTTGGAGCTGCAAACGGAAAGCCTTTGACTCCTGAACCTGGTAAGTACAAGTGTAAGACTCGCATAATTTTTGAATTTTGTTTTAATTTCTGTTTAATTACAGGTTTCTTTTCTTGGATTGAAAAAAATCACCAGGAACTTTGATGACATCGTTTGAAATATTAATAGCAAATAAAATGTTTTTGTACACTATAAATTGATATAACAATTTTGATTTCTTTGTGCGTTTGGAAAGCATATGATGGAAATGAAAAATAATGCTTTCCTTTTTATCGTTAAGTATCTGTAAAAATGGTCAAATATTTAAAATCAAGATGGATTTGTTAAGTAAACATTACGCTTACATCTAGAGTATTAGTGACCAAAAGTATGAGACTTAAAAGGTCAAACTTAATGTTTATATTACATTTATCCAGGTTATTAATTATAAGCGTAAATCAAGCTTTTCAAAAATATTGTTTTACAACTTATTTTGAACGATAAATGATTCTTGCTGGTATGCGGAGCGATGAATAAAACATATTCCCATGTTTCAGATAGATTAATTTCCGTTCATCCAAACATTGATTGTCTTAACTTGCATAAGATTTTTGTCAACAGCTGAAGAACCAGCTCCAAATATTAATTTGTATGCTTATGTGCCAAAAGGGTCCAGTTTCAGGTCAAATGATATTACAAAAGTTAGCTGCTGCTTTTCGTTGCTCTCTTCTCAATTTGGCCAATTGTTCCTCTAATTCACTAACTTGATTTTGATAAGCATTATTCTTTTGCTGACATTCCAACAATTGATTATTAAGATTTTCAATTTGTTCTTGATAAAATTGGAAAATATTTCTGTATTCAAGATCTCGAGCGCTTAACGGGAATGTGCGACTTGCTTCAATCCTTTTACTAGCATCTGATTCCTTTTCCCATCTTTCAGCTTCCAGTTTAATCCATTCAGGGATCTAGAGGATGAAAGCAATTAGTAATGTTTGAAATGTTTAAAATGACAAAAGTTGCTATTTACCCCATCAGTTGATGATAGATTACGAGTATTGACCATGGATAATGACATCTCTTCTTTAAGAACAGGTAATACTGAAGTTCCGATTGCTCTACTTCGTTGTCTTTTAGGTTCATTGTTTTTATTTGCATTTGGTGAAGGAATTGTTGTATCAATTATAATATAAACTCGGTCATCGGGAAAACAGTGGATACTCGATAACGAAACTGCTTCTCCAAATCTCAAGTATACATGAGATGCATAAAGAGTCAGAATGGGTTGAGGTTTAAGTATATAATCGCGCCTAATTGAGTTTCTATTTGATGAAATTAATGTTAAATGTTTACTTTGTTCAATTACAACTTTAGGATCTCGAACCAACAAAATCGGATAATCAGGTCCAATTTTTTCCACAATATTCATAAGAGGAGCATTCGTTTCACCTAAATTGAAATTTAAAAGCAATAGAAAGACAATCAATATTAAGAGACAAAACCATAATAAAATCAACTTTGAAAATGATGAATAGATGCTGTTGAACGTTTAAGATTGGTCAAAGTTGGAACTTGAATTTCCTTTCGTACAGTTGAAGCACCAGACTTTCCACAGGCTCTAAAGACAAAGTTATACAGTGGTGATCAAGGTAATCAAAATGCCAAAGTTTTTTCTTCAATAGTTTAAAATACGGATTATGCTCTTTTCCACCTGTCCCTATTTACATGAATTCAGAGAAAGTTCCGACTACTTTTCGTGGACACTAATGATGAAGATAATTGTGAAAATACTACCAACGAACAATTTGGTGACATTTCTATTTCTGATGCTTTTCATCATGACTCTGTAATTTTTGAATGCAACGAAAGTGAATCTTTTTCAAAATAAATTTAGTTCTTTTCGATGTGTATAGAAATTTGTACATAAAGTCGATAAAATTTACTGGTTTTATTTACCTATTTTGATTACTTCTGATATTTCAGATGTTTCTTCTTGGTTTTGAAGTAATGATTTAGATTCTTCTTCAACCTCTCTGATTCCCCAAAAGTAAACTTGATTTTCAAAAGTTTGAGCTAACAAGAAATCATTACCAGCTTGAATTTTCTGAATAAAGAAAAACGGATAAAAAAATCAGAAAAAAGGCCAATTAAGATAAAATTGAATGTGCTTACTGTTATTGAGTTTTGAGACATTTTAGGTAATAAATTGATCTTTTCAGCGACTATATTGGATCCTTTTGATATCCTTCCAGTCTCGTTGAGTCCCAAAACTAAAAGGGAACCATTTTGAAGAAGGATTAAGGTATTCTTGTGACTAAGACTGATGGATTCAACTTTATCTTTAATACATTTAACAACTTTGGGAGCAAAAATGCGACTAAAATTCATCTTTTTAATCAAAGATTTTTCCTGAATACCAAGCTTATTGTATTCATTGGAGCCACAGGCCCAAACAACATCACGATCATCAATAAACATGGTCGCATCAGGTCCAGTAAAGACTCTTTTAATTACAATATTGGCAGCAAAATTAACAGGAGTCGGTGTTTTAACAGTCACTGATTCTTCAGCGATTCCCAATTGTCCATCAATGTTTCTTCCCCAAGCCATGGCTTTTCCTTCATCAGTTACAATCATGACATGTCGAGGACCCGAAGTGATATCCTGAACATTATAACCCAATAATTCGTTGATTATTTTTGGTGTATAACTATTTTCCTCCGTCTCATAGCCAAGGCAACATGATTCAGCTGATCCACAAGACATGACTAAACCATTTTTACAAATGAAAATGCTGAAACCTTCACCAGCAACCAATTTGGTGACAAATTTACCCGACAATTCATCAACTAAAACCGCCTTAGGAACCCAATCAGCTGGGTTTGGACCCGTTGAGTTGGTTGGTTTGGATAAACGACCCAAGCCAAGTTGACCTTTACCTCCATAGCCCCAAACGTAAATCGATGAATTGTCAGTCAACGAAAGAAAATGATTTGAACTGCGGGCAAACTGTAGATCAATGCAAAAAGTCAATCATTAATAAAAAATGTTTGAAATAATTTTGAACTATTATCGAGACTCACCTGAGTTACCCTTTCACTGAAGGGTAAATCAAATTTATTTAAGGCAAGATTAGGCTCACGTAGGTTCACTTCAAATATTAATGATCGCCAGACTTTGATTGACCTGTCGGATGGATTAAAAGGTAAATTGAAGAGCATTTGTTAATACATTCCCATTTGAATAATTACGGTAACCAGATTTAATTCAATCTGAATATAGCTTCTTTCAAAGCCATTAACTTAATCCCATGAAGCTTGAAAGATTAAGATTGCTAACTTTATAATTTTACCAATTTGATTGTTAACGATAACAAATTACATTATCTAACAGATTTACATTAACCTTGGTTTTAATTGTTTACACATACCATTAGCACTAATGAGGTGTTCAAAGTCTTCAAGATAAGAAGGTTTGGGTGTTAAATCTTTAGTAGGAAATTAAACTGTGAAGCATTGAAATGAATACAAACCTGTACAATTGATCAGCAGCTAACATGGCTCCAGTTGAAATTTCGTTTGAATATATTTCACTTTCATACCGATTGAGACGAGCTTTGATTAAAAGTTCCGAGACATCATTTTGTATTTCATGAGCATGAGGGCGCAAAGTTGGATCTCGTTGCAACATTTCACCAATTAGCTTTTGAAATCTAGCTGAATATATCCGCTTAACGGGATCATATTTACCCTAGAAAAATGAGAATGAAAAACTTGAGCGAAAATTGTAAAAAATTTTGAAATTGCCGAGGTTACCTCTTCAAAAATTGTTTACCTTAATGATCTTATTAACCAAAGCTGAAAGATTGGTTCCTTCAAAGGTTTTATGAAGACAAGCCATTTCATAAAGGATGCAACCCAAAGCCCAGATATCAGTCTTTTTGTCATATGATTTGCCTTCGCACTAAAATCAGGTGAAGATAAAAAACACAGTTAAGTACTTGTGAGGTTTCAGAGATTACATGTAAATTCAATAACTTACCATTTCTGGACTAATGTAATGAGGTGTTCCAACAACAGTTGAAGCTCCTTCTCTATGAGTACCCAAAATTTTGGAGATACCAAAGTCACCAATTTTAAATATCTTTTCTTTGGTCATGAATATATTGGCTGTTTTCAGGTCTCGATGAAGTATATTACGATCGTGAATATAAGTTATTCCAGAAACAATTTGATTAAAAATAGTGAGTATCTCGAACTCTTTAAGAGGCTTGGACAAGAGGGATAAAAATTCGGCCAATGTACCACCTTCACAGTACTCCATCTCTATCAACAATTTGCCTTCCCATTCGTAGTTGTTGTAAAAAGAGACAATATTAGGATGATCCAGAATGGATAAAACTTTAACTTCATTAATGGCCATTAAACGTTCCGAGGCATTCATGTAGGTCACATCGACCTCCTTCATCACCACCAAGTCACCATCTAGTCTACGTCGGTACAAAATGGCCGTCCCAAAGGCACCTATCAAGAATACACAAGAAAAATAATGTAAGTTGTGAATTACTCAAGTGGAAACAGATGACCATCAATTATTAACATGTACACTAACTTTAACATGGGTTTGTTGAGCATTTCAGTGCGTGTTAACAATAGAAAATTGGACATTAAAGGGACAATCGATGGTTAGAAAGTGTTATTGGTAAATTGGATTAAATTATTGAATAAAACTTACCTTTTCCAACAACGCGAACCTTCTCATAATTTTCCCAGAAGAGATGTCTCGTTGATAGATCAGCTGCACGGTAATTAAAGTCATTTTGGATATTTTTAAGGGCTTTACTGTTGAAGCTAAATGATTTAAAATCAACCATTTATTGGAATTACTGAACTTATTGTTAATACTAATCAAAGGCTCTCTCTCACTATCTAATTACCTCTCTCATTAACTCTCTTTCCATCTCTTAATTTTTCCGTCTTCAATCTTCTTTCTTTTCCTTCTATTAATCTTTCTATTTTACTTCAACCAGGATGAACTCACAGTCACTTGAACTCTTAAACAATTATTCTTTTTCTTATGTCTTTCATTGCCTTTGTTATTTTTTGTTCATTTTTAAGTCAAGAGGTGTTATTTTGAAACATTGATGTCTAACAGGGCAATCAAGATCATAAGGTGAGTGAAAAGAGACAGAGACAGAGAAAGACAGTGAAAAGGATCATTGATATAGAGACTTCATTAGCTGTTTTATCAGTTCTCTTTGGAAATCATGGTTAATCAATAATACGAATTAGATAGCGATGCAATCTTATATTGTTATAACTTATAAAGGTGAATCTCAATCTCAAGTTGCTTATTAGATTCCCTGTTGGTTGAGTTGTTTTCCTTCAAATGAACTATTTGACTAAAGAGGTAAACTCATGAATTTCAAACATTTACATTACGAGAAACATCAACACTTGATTAAATTGCTTTTTTTAATATTTTTAAAAAGCGCGCTTTTTGGGCCATTGAGCCAACAACCAGAGTTTTATTAACCATTAACCAAAGGGTAAACTTTACTCTTTGGCATTAACTAATTCACTATGCAGTTAGTCAAATCAGTTAGACTTTGTGCAAAATGAGTGAAGACAATGACACTCCTGATAGAATTACTATTAAAGTGAAAGTAGCCGGTGAAGATTATTATCCCATTGTAATTGATTGGTCAGACAAAACCCATGAATATCAACAGCAACAACTGTTTAGACAAGTAAGTAACTTGACAATTGACCGTTACTTTTTTATTTCTATGTATTTCATATAATTTCATCTACGATTTAATCGTTTAAAGCTTGAAATATTCACAGGAATACCAAATGAATCTGTAACCTTTGTGAGAATTTTCAACCCAATAAACAATTCCTATTTCACGAACATGGAAAACCCTGATCAGTAAGTTATTGCTTTTACTTTTAAATTTCAATTTGACTAATTAGTGATTAGTAATCACCTCTTAAACCAATCCAATAGCTATGAAAATACTTGGCCTTTCACAAAGGAATCGGTGTCGCAAATTATCAGTGATGGCGATGAGTTTTGTCTTTCCACCTTCATTGAGCCATTTCGCATAGAAAGGGTCTTTCGGCTGGGCTATCAGTTACTTACTGGAAACATGACGCACCCTACGGAATGTACTGAATACTATTGCCAACACAGTGAAAATAGAAATTTTTTAAATCAAATAAGGAGAATAGTTATAAATTCCGAATTAGCCTTGCAGGTCAGACCTCTGCTTGATCAGATAATAGGACATAATTTAGAGGCTAGCTTCAGAGTAATGGAGCTTTTTAACATCAGACAATTTTTCGATCCATGTTGCCGTATTATTGGCAGGACACCTGGACACAGACACAAACGCCGGTATTTACCAGAGAGTGGTTAACCATTAGTTTAATGTACATTTAATTTTTACACGGATTTTGATTATTTGCAGAATTATGCCAGGATTATGACTAGATAACGATTCAAAATTTATCCAAATATTTGTAAATAAAAATGTTTTCATGTTCATCTTTAAAATCCTAATTGACAATTTTTCTTTGGCTTTAAATTGAATATCCTAACTTGATATAAGATAAAAATCATCGGAATTATTAAAAATATTTGATTCAGGATCAACCTAACTTAAACTGCAACAATTTATGAAGATTGAAAAGGTTGAAGATTATAAAATGTCAAGAGTAGCGACAATTCACGTCCAATTAGTTGATTACTTTTTAATTTTTACAGAGATGAAGCATGCAAGTTAGTTGAGGGACCGCATAAGAATTGAATTTACTATGTGGCAGGTCAATGAAAATGAAACAATGCAACAGTTTGATCAGCAATTCGTGAAGCAGGTTGAGGTTTCATCTTCCTTTAGCTTCAGCCAATTGTAACAGTTTGACTTTTACATAAGTGTGACGTTTTAATAGTGACAGTCAACTGTTTATTAGTGAACAAAATTGATCATCTTTCAACAGTTGGACATCTAAAGGTGATTAAGATAAAGGTGTAAAAAGGAAAATCAATAGTTTTAGATTGATGATTCAATGATATTCAAGAGGAGCAGCAATACTGAGCGACTATCAGACGATGAATGTGCTAAACTCTTGATAACGGAAGATGATGGAAATCTTGGATTGAATCAGTTAAATTCTGAAAGTAAGTAAAATTATTAAATTTAATTGTCACCAGATTAAAATTTAACCAATTGGTTACCAATTTATCAATATGCTTGACTTAAGACTAAAAACCAGTGTAATAAAAAGGTAAACAAAAGGAGTCTGGGTTTCAGGGTTAGTTTGCTAATTACAAACAGTAACCTAATCCCAACTGGATCCTAAAAACCTTTAAACCCATTTTTTAATCAACCTAATTTAACAATTTAGTTGTCTCTAGTTGATTAAGAAATTAAATAATCAAAAAATTATCTTATCATTTAATACTCGACCAAACATATGTTCACCCGAAAAGCAAAGGTTCATAGATAAATTCATTCATAGACGTACAATTACTATACTTTGAACAATATTTGGTTGATAATGATTTGATTACGTTTTGATTTTACCGATTAATTTGATTGCCAATAGTTTTATGATCGAACTGTATTTTTCCCAGTCACACACAAAATTATTTGTTAAGGTTAAAACAAAGCAATCAGATTGTCACAAGGTGATTGGCCAGATTATCAAAACTCAGATCTTGAACAAGTAGTCCATGTAAATTATTTAACCGGCCATTCCTCCAATGACCAGTTAAACATTTAACTGGCTTTTAACTGTCCAATCAACCAAGTCAGACAACTTGTTAACAAGTGTTTATTTGTTGAGCGACAATTTTCTTGTCAACAATCAAGATGATAGTACAGCTTATAAGTCCTACAATTATTTAACCTGCAACTATCAAAATGAAATCGACTGCTTTAAATGATTCGCAAATTATGAGAGACAATAAACTGTAAACAGTAAAGATTAAATTTGCCTCGTAATTAGCAAAAATACAACAATCACTGCCTTATTGCCAAACAATTAAATTAACTGGAAAAATACTGTGAAATAAAGCTACACAAACAAAATAGTTTAGTTTATCATCATTCATTAGTTAATCATCCAAACAAACAGCCTCCTCCAGCTCACTTATCATTGAGCTTAAAAAATAGTTAAATCACAATGTATGCTCCAATACCTTGATTGTCACAATTCAATATAAAACTCAATTTTTAACTTGTAATAATTCCTATGAAATCCAACAAACATAATTTACTATTGATTTCAATTTTGTGCATTAACCTTACAAATCAACACAGTTTTCTTCAGTCGATTTACCGTTGATTCAATATAATGACCAATCCAGGTAAGTTTAATTAACAGTTTTTCGATTGTTTCATTCCAATTGATCAGTTGAGAGTCATTGTGAATATCAATCAATTGGGTTGACAAATTCAACTGGTTGTCAAATGCCTAACAACTGTTCCGCATCATTTTGACACATAAATGACTGATCAAGACTCAAGTTTTTCCACTGAGTAGGTTATAATCAATCGACATTTAAAACACGAATTCTTAATGAAGAAACCATTTCCAGAATAAGAAATCTAAAAATTGAAATCCTTTTGATTTTGTCACAATAATAATATTCATCTTGAGATGAAAGGATCTTGGTTCTAGTTTCAACTTGAATAAAATTTTTCCTTAGAATCCTTTTAGTTTGGTCACAATTTTCACACATTTCATGTTTTGATTTTTTGTATTGTATTGTATATTGTATGTATAGATTGTTCCATGTGTTTAATTTAGTACATTTTCTTTGTTTCCTCCCATTCAGAGCACAAAAAATGGACCTTTCCAGTTCGTTACATCTTCTTCGTAATGGCTTTTCTTGGACTCAACATTTTGTACTCACTTCGAGTCAATCTGAGCGTTGCCATCGTCTCAATGTCCAAAGATATAACCAATTCATCTGATGTGACTGTCAAAAGTGAATGTAAAGCTCCAAAATCAGCTAACAGTAGCGTTCCTTTAATTATTGATTTATATACTGGTAATTCAACGCAAAATGGAACACAGGTTTGAATTGAAAAAATCAAACACTTAATTAAGTTGAAATTAAATTGTCAATTTTCCAATTTTCTTAGGATGAAGTCGCTGGTGAATTTGATTGGGATTCCCAAATTCAATCTTACATCGTGAGCAGCTTTTTCCTCGGATATGTAATCACCCAAATCCCGGCCGGTCGAATGGCTGAACGCTATGGATCCAAGAAAATACTGGCCACAAGCATATTTTTGGCTTCTGTTTTAACCCTATTCTGTCCAATTGCTGCTCGTTTCCATTACCAAGCATTTATCGCATGTCGCGTTTTAATTGGACTGGCTGAGGTTAATACTCGAATAATCCCATTCGATAATCATTTATTGGTGTCTATTTTTTCTTACCTCTAATCTATTCTGTTTTTTATCTCTTTCCAGGGGATGTTTTTCCCATCTATGCACTCAATGTGTGCTCGTTGGTTTCCCAAACCAGATCGTAGTCTCATGACTGCCGTTGTATATAGTGGAGCTCAAATAGGAACTGTAATTACTATGGTAGCGACGGGTTATCTTGTCGGTTTTGCTGGCTGGCCTTCAGCCTTTTATGTCTTTGGTAAGCAATAATTTAAATGACATTAGATAAACATAGATTAAGTAAGCTAATTTTTTATGCATTTTATAATAGGTGTAATCGGGTTGATTTGGGTTGTGTTATGGATTTTAGTAGTATACGAGTCTCCTTTAACTCATCCATTTATTAGTGAAGAAGAGATTCTTTATATCGGTATTGACCAAAATAGTGAAGACATACGTAAAGTAAGTCCTAAATTTATATATTGATTTTTACAATCAACTAATCGTTTGCTATTTTCTGTCTTTTTTAGGAACAAAAAACTCCTTGGGCAGCCATTTTCACTTCCCCAGCTGTATGGGCCTTAGTCGCGGCTCATTTTGGTCAAAATTGGGGCTTTTATACTTTACTGTTTGAAATTCCAATTTATTTAAAATCAGTGCTTGGATTAGATATTAAAAAGGTACCATGTTATTTTATTTTGATAAAACAGGAATGTGGCTGCACTGAAAGCAACTATCATGAAACAGAGATTACTTGGAATCCGTTGATACACAATTTGAATTATATTATGATTTGTGATTACATTAAACCATTTAGTCTTTTAACGCTAATCATATAAACTTGAATTTGTACTTAGAACTTTGTAATCACAATCATTCAGATTCATCTTGAAATGATTAACTGCTTACTTTGGGATTCATTTTGTTTGATTGTCCAATCATGGACTAATTTGTTTGTTTGTTTTCACAGAATGGACTGATTTCCGGGTTGCCCTATTTAATACAAGCAATTTCTGGTTGGATTGTTGGCTTTATCTTTGATTGTCTTATCAAATCAAATTTTGTTGGTGTTAATGCCGGACGAAAAATTGCCAACACGATTGGGCTCATTGGGCCAGCGATTTGTATTGTTGGTCTAGTTTTAGCCAAGTGTGATATTCATTGGATAATTGCCGCTCTTTTCCTGTCGATGGCATTAAACGGCTTCACTTATTCGGGTTTCAATATAACTCATGTAGATATGTCTCCTGATTATGCCGGAACTCTCATGGGAATAACCAATTGTATAGCAAATGTTGCCGGAATCTTAGCCCCTGTTTATGCTGGAATAATGAACAGTAAAGAGATTTCCTTGGAAAGTTGGTCGCGAACATTTTACACTTCAACAGCTGTTTACGTGGTAACCTCATTCATTTTTATCTTTTTTGGATCTGCTGAACTTCAACCATGGGGATTACCCAGCACCAAGCGGAAAGGAAGCGAACCATGATGATAACTGAGCATGTTGATTGGCATCTTTACAGATAGTCCAAGAATCTCATTGTTGATTTATTTTATTCTCATTAGTTTGCCATGTTTTTTATTTATCAATGCTGGTCAGACTCACTTTTTAAAGATTTTATAAATACAGTAGCCTGTAGGCTAAAATTTATGGACAAAAGCTTTGAACTGCTGAAGTTTTTTTTAATAATTAGTTTATTTACGTTATCGTTACATGATTTGATAGCGGAGAAACTAAGCTTCTCTGTGATATGGTTTATTATTAATAACTTCATCTCAGAATCAGCAATCACTATTTATTTTATATAATTCATTAGATGGGCAAAAAAATATTCCGAAAATTTTCGTACCAATTTCCTATTTCATTGATTAAGTAGTGCATGCAAGTGATCTCAAAAATTTGATACAAACTTGGGTCAAGAGATGTTTCTTTTGTCAATGATTGGCGATAATTAGCTTGATTATACGCTAAAACAATTATCTTTGTTGAAGAAGAAAAGGTTAAGAAAAAGTTGAGACAAGCAGATTTTTAATGAACTGACAATTGTGAGTGTATGATGATTTGCAGATGAACCAATTATTCAAATCATTACAAATTTTCGTATCATGGATGTTGATATTTTCGCATCAATTCCTATGGATTTTATCAAATAGAATTATCTTTTAGGAGTAATTAAGGTTATACTAATTTGTCCATAAATTTAAGCCTACGAGTTACTTAATCCAGTTATTATGAAAAATTTTGTTTGCGCCATCTATTGGGCAAGTAGATTTTGTAAACAACAGCTGTCCTTACAATAATATTCTGACAATTGTGAGGTTTCAAAGATATCATTTAAGCAAAAATACAAGCTAACTGGTTATAGTAGAGTCTTTAAATAATTAATTGGCCTAATGAGTTTTTCATCCTTATGGCAATCAATTGTAAAGTGAGCTTGACTTTGAACTAAACAAATGAACGCAATTTGAATAGTCTCAATGCATGTCAGGTTTGCATTTATCAAAACAACGATGTAAACATGTATTTTATACCATTACAACCTGTGGATTCAGTCTCTCCTATTTCACTCTTACCTCTTCAACTCATCTTTTTTAAATTATTTTGAGGTGTAAACCAAAACTCTTAAATGACCGTCATTTCTGGTTGTTTTGCGTATCTGGACCTTTGGGTCATTGATTATTTATCAACAACGAAACATTGTTTTTTGAAAACCCCTTGTTGTGATTTTACTTATGAAGTAAAAATAAACTAGATTTTGTGTAAAAATATGCTTCAAATAAACGGAAAGCACCAATAAATAAATACATTGCCTTTACACTAACATCAAATTTTAAAGTCCTTAGGATACAAAACGGCCGTTGACCATAAAGTCTCTAGAAAGGACTTAAACGTCATAAGCAGCTTAACAATGGTCATGACTTGTATATATTGGTATATTGCTGACCCAAACACGATCAATTTGCGCCTAGACCTCGTCTTGTCTCCTTTTAGTCACACCATGCATTTGTTTCACCAATTTGTTTTACTTTTTATAGTTCATATCGGCTCATCTGACGGATGTTACAGGACGTTTTCATATAAAGATGCTTACAAAAGTCTAGTCACTGAAGGTTCAAACTATCAGGTGATTGTCCGGACAGGAGCTCCAACATTGTATGGATATAGCAAAGCTGAACGTGATATTACCCAAGTCAAGACTCAGCTGTTTAATGGTACAGATTTTCGGTTGAATTTATTTCAAAAATTGAATGGTACCTACAAGATTGTTAATGAATCAATTCCTTTGGATACCAAAAATGTTCAATTGGTTTACAATGTGAGTGAACAAGCCATGGAAACGTTTTGTGTTAAATACAGTCTTCAGTGTTCCATATACAGACGAAGATTATTGTGGGATGTTGCCACTAACAAAATTAAGCGATTGGTTGGAAAGGACAGCAAAAACATGACCATTCACCTGGAATTGGATACGCAAACGGCTGCCAGTTTACCCAAACTTACAGATAACCATTACTTTGTTTTGATGATAACCAATGGAGCTGGTCAATTGAGATCAAGACTAGTCAATTCATTTGCCATCATTTCAACCTCTTTTCTCGGTGATTTATCTCTAAACATACGTTCAATTATCTCTTCAATTTACAATTTTACCATGAGAAGATTGTGAACATTGATCAACTGTGATTGTAGAAAAGATACTTGTTTTTTTCCATTTAATAAAGTTTATATTTTGATAGACAGCAAAAGCAATTGACGTTAACATCATTGAGTACTGCCGTATGTTTTGAAAGTGTAAATAAGTACAATTAAGTGACTAACATTACCAATCAAGTGATCATAAACCCAAGATTAATTGCATTAAACAATATCTCATTAGGCATTAGGAATCATTGTAACCATCATCGGTTTCTTGGGTTCAAGTTAAACCCAATTTTTTTTAGGTTTGCACCATTTGTAACCCAAGTGTATTGACTTGTTAGACTTGTTGGTTTCCTTTTGTGACTATTTATGTAAATTAATTTACATTAATTGATTGATACAATTTAACCAGTGAAACTGTGTACTCAGTTTGAGTGATCAATGGGTTCCATGGAATCAATGGGTTATGAAAAACCTGGTACAATGAGTATTAGAGTGTAACACTTTTAACCAATTGAATTATCTTGCATTTCTGGTTCAGATAAGGATAATATTTTTAATGGCAAATCTTGTGATTTACGCATCAACAATATTTTTAGCTCTTTTCATGATTACAGATTCAGGGTTGGTAGCAATTCAACCTTTCTTTATAACTTCAACCAAAGGCACACTTGGTTCACACTGATGGTGATTTCATTGATATTTTGAAATATTTCCAATTTCTCATAATCTGACTTGATCTACCTGGCTCTGAGTATAATCAAACAATTACAAGTTGATTGGTGTTACTGATAATTTATTAAAACATAATATACCACAACATGTATATAATGCTGAATGATAAGTCAATAGAAAAGTTGTAATCGAACTGAAAAAAAAACCAAAAATGATAAAAATCACTTAAGTACTCATTTTTAGTACCATTGCTGGTTATCATTTACAAGAAGATTATTGTTTGGATAAACACACTGAAATGGAAATCTAAGATTCATGGTGTAAAAGCAACAGTTAGGCAAAGCTAGTTCAATAAATTCACGTCTTCAGCATGTTAGGTGAGCTTCAAGATTTCAAAGGTTTACAATCGGTTAATAATTAAAGTATAATTAATAGCTGTGAAATAACATGTAATTCAATGGTGACAGCAAAGGCAGGATATGATTTACTTGTAGTTAGGAAAGGTAAACAGATAATTGATGTTGACAGGGGAAATATCAGAGGCAATGTGAAGAGCAAAATTGATGGCAAAATGTGGCTTTACTTTTCACTGGTTTTGCTTCAATTTTTCATCCAATTGTTATTACGTTTGTTATTTAATGGAAGATTAATTAGTGCGATTGTACTAATTTGCACTGAGCTGTTTATATTATTAATGGGTTCAAATCAACTTGAGTCAAGGAATTTATGATAAATTAAATCGAAACAGGAGGTTAACAATTTTGATTCAACTCGCTTATGTTTGTCTTCAGACTGACTTGTGTTCAGTCCGACTTTAACCCGATTCTGCACTCAATTTTACCAGTTTTTTCAGGTGCGTTAAAACCTTGTCTGACTATTGAACTGATTATTTAGTTTACTGACTGAGTCACCTAAGGAATTTAATGTAACATTGTAGACTAATTTAAACCTTTCATTATTCAAATAGTCTGAGTCAATTTGACTTTATTACATTGTAAATGCCAAAGTTAAAAATTGGAACAGATTGTCTGATTTTTGAAATGTTAAGGCTTTACCTTGCTACCAAGCACTATCAGTTGAACCATTAATCAGTGTATTCAAGTACTGGCCACTTAGCAAAAGATATTGATAGTCTAATACATTTCAAGAGACATTAAGAGTGTTTCATAATTAGCTCATCTTGTAGGGTCCAATAGAGTCTTTTTTGTACCCAGAACCTTCAATGGTCTTTGCATTAAAAATGGTTGTCTTGTTTGGGTTTTACTGTTGCTTTATTTTGGTTTAACCTTTTCCTAACCACCACAGCATTAGTGGAATGAATGATTCATAATTTTGATCGCCTTTTCTGATCATAAACCTTTATCTCTATCTACCTGTTCACTATGGCTCACCCTGTAGCGCTGAGAGAGGAATATTTTTTTACGTTTAACTGACAAACATGCGTACCACCACAACAGGCTTTTGCCATATTTATCAAGATGAAATTAGATAAACTTTTCTGCCCTTAATAATACATCAAGTACTCTTTGTCTAATTAATGTACCGTTTGTACACTTTCTCATTTCTGTTCATCTTATTTTCAGTTTAATTACACAAGCTCGCTTGATTATTCAATCATTTCGACTTTTTGTTTTGAAAAATAATCAACAAAATTGTTAATTCAATGTGCTACATTAATTGATTCACCTTATTGAAACTTTGTATCAACAACCAAAACTGTCTGGTAAATAAGACAAAGGAAAGCAAAACGACTCATCAAGTCAACTTGAGACCTTTTTTATTTATCTTTTTTCCAACGTCTTTTATTTTGCTTATTTTCTGATTAAGGGTTACTTTTGTTTCTTCTGCAACATTGAAAACTTTATCTCTGTTTAATCTTTCTTAAGATTTATCTGCTGCTTCTTTTCTTCTTCTGTGGAAATTTATTTTTTTTCTTCTGGTGTTTTCAACTTTCTCTGTTTATCACATTATGGTTCCTGATACTGCTTCATCGATTCGTCCTCACCTTTCTTCCAGGCCTGAAAAGGCAATCTTGTGCCTTGTTTGTTCGGATAAATCATTTGGAAATAATTTTGGTGCTATCACTTGTGAATCATGTAAGGCATTTTTCAGAAGAACGGCTAATGAGCGAGATGTAAGTTTCCCCTTTTTTTATCTTAATCATAATCAATGAACATAAAAAGCAATTTATCTTTTTATTTTATCCCCTTGTTAATAAACATTGTTTTCCTTTGATCTCCTTTTTACTACTTAGAAACTGGCTTGCCCGTTCAATGACAATTGTGAGATAACCATCGCTACTCGTAAACATTGCCGCAAATGTAGACTCGAAAAATGTTTTGCAGTTGGAATGATAAAAGAATGGATTCAATCAGAGGAACAGCTCAAAATTCGACGTGCCATTCTCAAAGAACGTAAACTTCGTCGTGAAATGGGTGCTAATGGTCAAGCCATTAAAAGGTTTAGATCGAGTCCTTCAAGGGTACCAGAAAGCGTTGGAAATGATATCAATGGCAATTCCAATTCTATGTCTTTTCCCGATAAACGGGAAAGAAACATATGGACAAGTATGGCCCAAAAAATGGATAGTTCAAAATTTCACAAGCAGCTAGCTAGTTCATTACAAAACAGTGTCTCCAATTGTAAAGGATACGATAGTCAACAGTCTGTTGCTCAATTTTTCAACAAAATTACTGATCAAAATTTTTTCGCCAATCTTGTAAAGTCAAATGCGTTTGGTTCAGGCCCTATGCGTAGCTCAATCTCTCGCAATTCAGATCAACCAAGTCCAAACCAACGATCGTCCGTCATTGCATTCACTGGAAAATCCTCTACTTCTTCATCCCCTGCTTTGTCAGTATCATCTTCACCCGATCAAGGCAACCAAGATACTTGTGATGCCAGTATTAAGAGCATGCACGATGATTTAGCTCCAGAGGTTGATATATACCCAGGCAACTTTGATCCCGATTGTCATCCGATTTACCAAAGTTTAGTCAAGAAGAAACCACCAGTTTCTTCTTGTCTAAATACATCATCTTCATTATCATCACCAACATTTTCATTTACCTCATCTACAGCTTCATCGCCAACATCTACACCAACATTCAACAATTTAACCTCTAAAACAACCTCATCATCACCTCCAGCATTTTCATCAGAAACTCCAACAACTTCAAAAGACTATCCTCTAAGAACCCCAACAGAATCATCTGTATCAAATAAACAACTTGAACCTTTTGCAAATGAAAGAAGTGATGCTACAGACGAAGACATCATTAAAATTAATCAAAATCCTTTGGATTTACCTTCCGAATCTACCGCTAAATCAGTTAGTTTAAATGTCTTCCATCACATAATTGACTCTTATTTCACACGAATTAACATGAGGAGTGAAAAAATTTCCAAAAGTTATGCTCTCAATTCAATGGAGGAATCCCGTTTGATTGAACTCACTCTTGCTTATGGTGCTTTCAACGAGCCCCTCGCATGTTCCTGTACCTCTGTAAACAATTTACTTATTAACTGTTACAATGTTTCAATTTGCCAGTTGATTACCATGACAAAGAAATTAACAGCATATAGTGAGCTTCCTGTAGAGGACCAAATCACATTACTAAGAGGAACCTTTGCTGATATTTTGGCAATGAGAGGAGCCTTTCTGTTCGATTCTAAAACATGTTCTTGGCCTGTAAGTTTATTACCAACCCTTTTTCTTACGTTCATAATAACTGTTATTGTTAACGTTGTTAGTAACGTTTCAGTACAAAGAGTTGCTATGACAGCAAATCACAGATTTGCTTAACTTTCTTTTTCAAATCTGAACAAAATAATATAAGTGTCCAATTTTATTAACTTTTTTTATCTTTCAGGTCAAAGGAACATCGTGGTCAATTAAAATGGATCAATTATTTAGCATTGATGAAGCTTTTTACAAAACCTATTTAGATTTTATAAATGATCTAAGCTCAAATTGGCGCTCAAATGTAATCATCAATCAATTGATCCTTGTAATAATGTTATTCAATTGTAACCTTTCTGGTCTCAAGTCTCCTGAAGCTATAAGGTAAATAGTCCGAATCAAAATTCATAAAAGGCAACTATTTAAACTAATTGTTATTTTATTTTTATCCTTAGGTTGGAGTATTGTGCTTATATTTATCTACTTCAACGTTATTTAGAGTCAAGTCTCAACTTCAAGGAAACACCTAAAGAAACTTTGTGCCATATTTTGGGTAAAATAAACCAACTACAGGATTTTAATCGGAATCTGATTCGCCTGCCAAATGGTCAATCTATTGAGAATCTTAAAATTGGAAGTTTGGATTCTCTTTTGCTTCCAGATTGAATCGATATCGGTTTTAGGAATTTACCCATTTTGATCAAGCTGTTTCTTCCAACAAGTTCATTGTTTTTATGCTAATCAGTTCAACGTTTCTTTATTTCATTTTAAATCATCGCAACTCGAGAAAATTTTGGTATTGCTACAGTAGTCAACAATGTAATTCAGTTAACTCGTTCATTCAATAGATGAAAATATTCCAATGGAGTTCATTTCCTAATTTTAAAATATTGAGATTTTTGAGAGACAAAAATTTTTATTACCATTCTCTTTAATACTTTAATTATCATCAAAATGTCTATTATTATTATATACCTTCAACTATAAATTGTTAATTTTCTCATCTTGTTTGCTATTTCTGGGTTGTAATTATATGTATCCTCAAAGTTTATCAATAAACACGCCACATTCGACCAGATAATTGTTGAATTATTAATTAATGACCAATTTCGTTGAATTCGCAAAATGATGAAAAATTTGTCAATAAAAGCTTGCAGATGTGCTGAAGCCATCCATTTTATACTACTCTATCCCTTACCAATATTAGTCGATACCTGAATAATTCTGGAGACATTCATTCAGTCAATAAAATCCAGTTATTCACAATGAACATCACACTGCTGTGATCTGGATCAACAAATGAGATTGCATTTTACAGACAATGGATGGCGTTGTGTTCTGTAAGATACCAATGTTACATTTTCATGAATTGAATCTTTGTTGAACCTTCTAAGTTGAGTTCTCAAAGGTTCTTGTGGGGCAGAATTTCTGCAACACCTCAACCATATTCAACAATTTTCAATTTTAAAGTAATTGATTTCCGACACTTACTGGTACATCCGATTATTAGCTACTTCAATTTGGATCAAGCTTGAAATAGTCTTGAATGGTGCTTATGTTCAACCTTTGTACCCTTCATTCTTGAAAGAATCCATTCAATTACCTTAAAAATTTTGGTCACTAAAATCAGTAACTCTTGATAGCTCTGAAGCCATGAACATTTTATTTCATTTTCAGGTTTTTTCGCGAAAAATCTCAAAAGAGGAAACAATTAGAAATGCGATAAAACAATCTTGAGCTGTGAATATTAAATTACAGTTTGCTGCTGCAAATAGGGAAAGTGAATTGCTCAAATAATAGATTCAATGGGAACTAAGCTTTCATTTTTAAATCGATAATAATCGAATGATTTTTCCATTAATTTATATTATTTCTTGCTGTACTTAATTTGGTTTTGTAATGTAGTTTAAGAGATCACTTTCTTTCAGGAGATTTGCTGCTTTTTAAGTTTCAAGTCTACAGCCGTTGCCCAGTTACATAGCATTTAAAACTGTACAATAAATGGGTTCAAAATTAGAGAGATTGGTCAATTAATCTTTGGTACTCATTGTGCTTTAGTTTACGACTCATGGCTAATATAGCAACAAAAAACTTGCCTTTGCTATCGAAGCTTTTCTCGATTAAATCAGAGTAAAAGGGCTTTTCATCAATCTAGCATCAGTTATATAAAATATTATATCAAGTTGTTTGTTGAACTCAATCATGACAGTCGATAGTTGAGATCGATGAGAGTAAAAGAAAGCAGGAATTTAAATCAACATTATTTTTACTGATAAAACAAGGACAATATGAATACAATAGATTTGAATTTAGTTAAACTCATCAACGAATAAAGAAATAAAATTTCAAACAAATGCCGTTGAAATGACAAACTTTGAGGAAAAGAACGAATTACAAAGTGAAATGGAATGCAAAACAAAGAAAATTGTCAACTTTATTGACTCAAATTGAACTTTTTTTCATCGTCTGAATGGCGATTATTGTTTTCATCATGGAAGAGTTGAGACAAGAACATTATCTATTAGTTGAGTGAAAAAGAATGAAGAACCATGGACAAAACGAAAAATAATTTTTCTGTCAAAAGAAATTTTCATCTGATAACAACTGAACCGGGAATTGAAGTTTAATATGAAACCAACAAATAGACATTAATAAAATGATTTATCAAGTTTTGTTTCATCTAATCACTTTATATTCTTCCTAATATCCCATGAAATAGACCTTCTGTTCACTGGCGATATTCAAAGGTAAACTTGGCTGTAATTAAAAGATTGAATCCTATCCATTGATGAATTGGCTTTCACTTGTTGACTTTCTTGAACTTTATGTAAATATTTATGTATAAGAAGGAAAAAACAGTTTTCATTGTTTATTGATTTGATTGTTGTTGCTCTTAATTTGTTTTTGTCTGCTTTTTGACGTTCATTTGAAAACTTCTTAACATTTCGATTGATAGTTCTTATGCAGCATCGGCAATCTCAGTCATGCTTGGACGATTGGCCCAAGTTGGATCCGATCTTCGTCCAAACCGCAATCTCAAAGCTGGAGATCGACCTCCTTTCCTCTCCATTTGATGGCCAAATCGCAGGTACGCTTCGGGTGCGGGACCTTGATTTCTCATTAATAGTTCATAAAGATCTCTCAATTCTGAGACACCTTTGGATAAAAAAAGATTGAAAGCAATTAGAATTTTGAACGAGAAAAAAAGGAAAACTTCCTTTCAATTTAAATCACAACAAATTCATGCTTATAACAAATACGATTAAAATGCAATACAAAAGTTTCATCATTTTATTGGAAATTTTCACCATCATGAGCTTTGTGAAAATCTTTTCATGCCCTTTTCAGTTGACATTGAAAATGTTTTTGCAGAAAAAGTTATTCGCCACAAAATTTCCTTTCATTGAAACTTAAAAACGATTTCAAATATTCACTTGCATTTCTCTATCAGTGATTAAGAAAGGATATTTAGTTTGAGCTTTTTTCATGGAAGAAGCTCTAATGAATGACTCTTCATTACATTGGAATATCACTTTTCCTTGATTCTACTCTTGTACTTCTTGTTGACTTTGTTGATCACATTTCCGTACAAACATTTAACCAAGTTTAAGTCAACAACTATTTTTGTACTTGCAATGTCTCACTATCCCAGTGAACGAGTCTAAGTTATCGTTCAATGATATCGATGAACTGAAAGAGAAAAGGTTCAAAGTTGAATGTGAGGTGAAAGGTGATAATCGAAATGTGCATATTTTTGAACTTAATGTTGTGCTCAGTGCTCTTACAACAGTGAACTTTGTGAAATAAAAATGACAAAACTTAATCATCAAGTCTGTATCTAACCTAGTATCCACTTACTATCGTCGTTTGAATTCACATGACTTGATGCAAGCGGGCTTAAAATGAGGAGAACTGAGAATAAGATGAAAAGAGAAACAATCAAGTTTGATTTAACCATGATGAATCTGGATTCTTGTTCTGTTCAATTCGATGTGATATCAAACCAGATTAATCTGTAGAGCAAAGAAAAAAAGAGAAAAAAATGAACATTAATAAACACGGAATAAAAATGAAACAATGAACATAAAAAGTGATTTCATTCAATGAGATTACTTCCAAACATGAAAGAAACAATATTGATAAATTTCCAACTGGGAATGTTCGAGGAGTGAAAAAAAGATAATGATGAGTTTTGATAATGATTTTTTTGGTTGCAAAGAAAAAAACACTTTTCCATGTTTACCAGTCGAGATAATCATTGATTTGAATTAGCATTATTATTACCTTAATCAAATCAAAATATAGGTGCAAACAATTGCATGGAAAAGGTTATCAAAGTTGTGATGAAGACAGAAAAAAACATTGAACTCATTTGCAACTGGAAATTGCGTCGAAAGGAATGATAACAATTACCAACTTGCATGATATTAATAATGATAAATTAGTACTTGATGAATATCAGGTGAACAAGCTCTTGAATGTTCTTGATTGAATGATTGAATATTTGAATAATAAACATGTTATTCGACATTCAATTCAACAACTTGTTTTTTTCCCTAAAAATATTCAGAATCTCAATTGAAACCTTAATAAATAAGACATTTGACCAACAGCAATCAATTGAAATGCTTTCAACTTTGCAATGAATCTGCTTTTGAATAAATTTCGAGAAAAGTTGACTCGAAATTTCGAAAGTTTCCTTTCATTTAAAGTGAACTTTTTGCGAAATAATTTTCAGACTTTTTTCCCTTTTTGATGCTCAATCTCATGAGTCTTTTGAATGGACTTTATTTGCCTGGAAAACTATCTTTGCTATTTTTAATTCAATAATTATTGTCAATTAATAATTCATTTGATTGGCATATTTACGACCAAAGGGTTGAAAGGTAAATCCGGTTAAAAGAGTTTGACTTTTTTCGACAAAAATTGAGGGTAAATATGCCAATCAATTGAATCATTTATCAGTTTAAAGTCTAGAACATGTAACTTGTTCAACTGTTTTCATGTAATTCATTTTTCTTTTTCTTTTTGTCATAAATCAAAGCTTTTGATTTTTTATGTTTTACTAATTATTGAGCATTTCAATGGAGCTATAAAAAGTTCATTTCGAAAATAATTTATTGAATTTTTTACTGAAGGCAACTTGTTTCTCAATTTACCATTTTCCCCATGATTAGTCGTAAAAGATGAACTTTATTCTGCCTGAAAAATTTACTCGAATTTCAATTTTAATGCTGAATTGTCAACAATTTGAACTTTTACCCAATAAATTGCTGCTTTCGAGGTTAAATTAATAATAATTTCAAAGTTGGTATTGAATTTCGTTGACAAACTTTTCATCAAATCAAGGATAACACATTAATATTCAGGTTATTAATATCATAGGAATTGAATGAAAATGATGGATAAGCCAAGTCATTTAACTGCCTTCAATATCATTGAACTATTTGTGTTTCGCCGGAAATAGGAGATCAGTGGTTCGAAGCACACAATTTTGTTCTGTAACTCCTTTAACAATAGAGATAGTGTTGCAAGTAATGGATCCACGATTCAAGTGAAACGATTTCACTGATATTATTGCTTCTACCGAGGCCATTGCAACCATAAACCGAGAGTTGGATTCTCTTCAACCTATTCGAGTATCAGATAGTGTCAGAAGTCAGGATAACTTTGATGGAATATGGATTTTAATAAACATTCTTCAATCTGATTTATGTCTAAATAATCATTCTCATAACGAAAGTTTCCTTTTCTAAACAGGCAATTGTACTCTTGCTTAGGTGCCTTTGCATCTGGTTGTACCTTCAATCTCAGTTTTATCCAAAGGAGTTTTCCAAGGCATGAAATCTCATGAACATCAGCAAGCATAGATCATGGATCATGTTTTGATCTATCTGATCATCTGAAGCTATCGGATGGACTTATAATGATGAGAGTTGATGCTGTTCAATGTATCCGAACTTATTAATTTAATTGTTTGTCATTTTTTATTTAATCTATTAAAGTCGATTATTTATTCATCATGTTCAATTAGGTTCTTTAATCGATCAAGAAATCATCTATTTTTAAAGCTTTATTGATTAGTCAAGATATTTGAACGCTCATAAAACAGTGCAAGTAAATGCTTCGAGACTAACACCAGTCAGTTCAAAAAAGATGGAAGTTTTAAAATGAATATCACTGAAATGCAATAAAATGATCACACAGATCGCAATCGATCATCTGACCTAGTTAACTATTATTACTTCAAATTTGAGGATATCTCAACTTGCGAAATACTATTTGAACTTTTTTACAAACTCGACTCATTGGCTGAGTATTGAACATCGGAAGTATAAAGTATTATAACAAGACTGATTTTGGTAAATCAACTTGAAAGGATTAACCTTTTTGGATGAAAGAATTTGGAAACTTTCTTCAAATCGTTCGAAAAACAAGATTTATAAACGTTTTCTTCCCATTGAATTAACTAACATTGTAATCATTATTGTATAAGAAGAAAAGCTGATTAAAGTGTTTTCAATTAAGAATTGCTCAGTAATTGATTGCATTTTAACTACGAATTTTATTTTTAATCAGTTTAAACAGATAAGGTCAATACGACAATAGACAATTCATCATTTTAATTAAAGATCAACAAAATTCTGATTACGTTAATTAACGTCAAGTGTTAACAGTGGGAAAACTGATTGACACTATCAATTAACAATCGAAGAAGAAAGCAAACAAAAAATGGATAATTAATTGTTTCATTTATTCCTGCAATATTGTAATAACTTTTACATGAAAGTTTTGATGTTATCTCAAGTGGATTCATCGTTTTGCGTCCAACATTAAAGGTTAAATTTGCTGAACCCGTTTGCATTGGGATTTACAAGTTGAGGTTCAATGTGAAACTTTGAGCCTTTAAGACTCTTGTCAACTCCAACTGTAACCCATTAAAGTCCATAATCTGTTTAGTTGTAATAACACAATAAAAACATCAATAATAAGATAATTTTTCCTTGTCAGGTAATCATTTTCGTGGCATCAAAACTTTCAATTCTCATTGTTCCAACGTTCCAACATTAGAACATAAAATTGCACTAAAAAATGGATTCAAAATTCAAAGTTTCTTCCAAACAGTTTTCAATCAAATTCCCTTCAAGATTGAGTTGTCAAAGCATGACAAGCTTGATTCTAATCGATATTCACATTGGCAACAATTGATAAAAAAAGACTGATCCATTTTAATTCCTCTATCGAAGTGAATTAAAAAATGTTTAAGAAAACTAATTCAATAGATTAACTCACAATGTCACTTGAATTTTAAAGTTAATCTTTTGAAATTATATCATGTTCCCTATTGTTTAAACCAAAAAGAAGAAGATTATTCTTTCATGATTCTTAAAGTTTGTAAATTACTTTGTTCACCATTTGTCTCCTCGAAAGTAGTTCAAGCTTCATGAAGGATTCAACTCTTTTAATGAGCAGCTAAAAACAATCGACAAAAGAAAAAGCAAGAAAAGTTAAAGATTAAAAAGATTGCCTTGAAATTGACAAAAGCAACAACTCGATGAAAGATGTTTATTTATTGCATTAAAATGATAATTATTAGGGTTACAAGGAAAAACAAAGTTGCCGTTAAAAAGGTTCGTGACTTGAATAGTTGACTGAAGACTCGAAGCAGTGTGACAAATGTACAAACATCACTTTACTGTTGATTGTTTTCAGTTCAATTTATAGCTCTCATTCCACCTCATTATCTTCATTATCCTTAACACTGGCCGTTACTAATACTTTGGACTGGAGTTTCATTTTTTTCTCATTTACTTTTCTTTTCTTTTGACACTCATTTACACTGAACATTCAGCGGTTGGAACACATGTAATCTTGAGTTTGTTAGACTTGAATAATTCATTAGAAGACAAGAAAAGTGTTTCCAGATTAATCTGTAAATTGCAATATGAATAAACATGAAAATGTTGAAATTTATTCCTTGGTTGATGTTGCAAAATTGGAATGGAAAAAGTGACCGAATTTTGATTGAAACCTTTTCGCCTATCAAACCATATATTTGATTAAATTGGATAATGATATTGATTGAGAATGATTTTTTTCATTTAACGTCAGTTGATTCAAAGGTGTACAAAGGTTGTCTCGAAAAAGCATAGAAACGATCAAAATGATTGGAAATCAAAGTGATCAATTTAAAGGATTGAATTGAATTGATAGTGTCAACTTGTGCAGAGTTGAATGTTAAACTCACAATTTCATTACATTTACATGAACTCTCAATGTGACAATATTCAATTGAATAACAAAATATTATTTGAGCTAAAAGTTGGATGGAAATGATTTCTGGTTCATTTTGGAGAAAAAAAAATTCTGTTTCTTTACTGTTTACCAAACTTGTCATTTTTCGCCTAATTACTGAACTAATTGATTGATTGGTTCAACAATTTTCGTCAATTTATCTATTCTCATGAGTAATCAATCAAATGGAATCAACAATTTGTACAAAAGTAAATAGCATTTTTAAATGTTTCAATTTACGACGAGAAAAGTCAATTACTCAATTAGATGAACAACATTTTTTTTATTCTTGTTCCAAAAGTCTGATGATTCTAAAGATAATTGATGAAAAAGTTGAGCTTCTTCATTTGGAGCAAAGAGAAGCTGAATTTAATCATTTTGATTGCGATTATTTACTGGACAAAATCGATAAATTGTGTTTATTCGCTTAGAAAATTTGATAATTATTCTAATGATTATCGTTTGGAGCAAACAAAGGAACAGATTTTTCTTTTTTTCAATGAATCACAAATTGTTTCAAACTGTCATTACCATGTAAACCAAATTCTAAGCCATAACATGTTTTTAACTCGCTATTGTACTGCTACTTTCACTCCCAGCATCAGGGAGTGAATTTACTATTGCTTTGTGTTTGGCAGAATATGAATACATTTTGTCTTCTTTCCAAGAACAAATGTTTTTATTCTCTGGATAAACAGAAAATTATAATCAATTTTCC